AATGATGGCAACCACCTCATGGTGCTGATGTGAGGATTACATTCAATTCCCTAATAACACACGTAGGCCCCCTCAGGAAGAGCTGGAACTGGTGGCTCCATTTGACAAGGAGGGGGCCGAGCGCTTTCAGTCTCATGGTGGAAAGAAAGGAACCTTCTGTTGCTAGGCCTGGGCCCACCCTCTGCACCCAACCCTCTCCACCCAACCCTGTACATATCACTGCTCTACATGAGACTTTAAGCCTCCTAAGGGCAGGAACCTGATTCTTCCTTTGGTTCTCTGGAACTTGCACGTAGCAGAAACTTAGAACATCTGTTGGAGGAATGATCATGAGTGGATCTGAATGTTTTTCAAAAACATCATCCGTCATGTGAGCCGCCCACAGAACAGACACTGGGACGGCTGTTTACAAAGGCTCAGGGCTTTTTGCCCCGAATCCTCAGACTTTCACCCCAGGTAGTTTCTTTAGCCTCAGGGGAATCTGGGGCTCAGAGAAGCCGAGTACCCTGCCTAGAGTCACCCGGCTGGGCAGTGGCATTCTGGCGTCCCAGCCTTGCCACCCTCCAGAGTGGCTGTTTGCTCTTCCCTTTCTTCTGCCACCTGCCTTCTGCATCACTGGGGATAATGAATTCGTGTCTCCCTTCCCGTCACTGGCACAGCCGCATGCAGCTGTCAGTCAGAGCGGCTGTTCAGCAGGACAGGGGGGTTCTCACACCCGGTCCCGTCACTCTGGCCCAAAGCAGAGAGTTGGTGGCAGCCTGGCAGGCCCAGAGACTCCACTGGGGGTACGTGGAGGCAGCCAGTGGCTGCTGTGGGCCCACCTCCATGCAGCCCGACCACCACTGCCAGGGCCCTGCTAGGGGCCGGGAGAGGGTGTATATTGAGCGGGGGATGATGGTGGCGACAGTAACTTAGGAACCACTCTGTGCCAAGCACCGGGCCAAGCCCTTCTCAACAACCCTGAGGGGTGGGTCCTGCCAGCATCCCCACTCCAGGGTGAGGAACAGAGGCCCAGAGGGCTCCCGTGACTTGCTCCAGGGCCCGCAGCTGGGATTCAAACCCGGGCTGCAGACTCCCCAGGCCCTGCCAGACTACTTCTGGGAAGGACTCTTGAGAGAGGTGCCCAGAGTGACATAGGTCTGAAGACACACCCTGGGGGCAGAGCAGGTGGAAAGGAAGGGAGGGGAGGGCGGGCGGCCTCAGGAGCTTGTGAAGGCAGGAGCCGGCCAGCAGGAAAGGGAAGCTGCCTCCCAGACTCGAAGGTCACAAGACAACGCTGCTGGGGACAAGGGTGGGGACGGCCAGCAAGGCAGGGCAAGACGGGAACTAGGGCATCTTCCTCCGATTCCAGGCTGCCTACCTGTCCGGCAGGTCTCGGCTTACAAAACCCTCCAGAGCCCCAGCTAGGCTGCGGTCAGCCCCGGGGGCGGGGGTGCACCCTTGAGACCCTCTGGGGCCATCCCACGGCCCGACCACGGGAGGGCTGCGGAGACAGCCCCGCACGATGGGCAGAGAGGGTGGGAGCAGGAGCTCAGAGGTGACGGATGCAGCCTGAGGTGGCGTGGGGACGGCGCACCGAGTCTGGGCTCCATGACACGGTGCCTCCTGTGCCCGGCACTGGGCCACATCACCATGCATGTCACCGCCCTGAGCCCCAGCCTGAGAAGCGGCGCCACTGTCCCCGCTGCACAAGGATGCTCTGGTTGGGCTACTGAGAACCTCCTTGTGACCCTGAGCAAGTCACTACCTCTTTCTGGGTCCTGGTTTCCTCTTCTGTAAAATGGGGACAGGGGTTGGAGTCAACCCGCAAGGTCTCTCCCAGGAGGAACTGTGTGGCTGTAAGCATGACATCGGTGATGGCAGAGAGCTGGTCTACCTTCCCTCCATCCTGGTGCTGAATCGACACTGAATGGATGCACTGGAAGCCCCTGGAAGGCAGTTCTGACACCCAGAAGGGCTCAGGACCACTCAGACATAAGAAGATCAGAGCCGAAAGACCTCTGGGAACCTTCCGATACAGCCTGCCCCTTTTACAGAAGGGCAGACTGAGTCCCAGGGAGGGCCAGCAGGCTAGGATGGACGCCCAGCTTCCTAGGCGCCAAGGAGAGGCCAGCTCCCGGTTCTCCGTCTGTCTTCCCAGTGCCCCGCACTCTGCTCCGGTGAGCGCCTTCCCAGGGGGGCAGCCTCCCTCCTCCTGCCCTCCACTCTCGGCAGAGCCCTGGCTCGGATGCCCTGGCTGCGATCCCCGGGCCCTGCTTGGACCCAGGAGGCTACAGCCCCACTGGGGCAGCAGAAGCAGAACGGGGGTTTTGTCCTCCACGAGAGCCCGTCTGCTGGCCGGGACTGGTGGGCCGGGCCGCTGGCACAGTAAGGCCTTGTTTCCTTGAATACAAAATCTGCAGCTTTTCACCCTCACCCGGCCCCCGGCGGGCAGCACTTCCTTCCCTAGAGGTCCGGCTTCCTGGCCGGCTGTGCCCCACCCCCCAACACCCCAGCAAGCAGTCCTGGCGCCAAGAGGTGGCTGGAGGGTTCAGCTCCCCCATTCTCCAACCAAGTACCCCTCATCAAACTGGCACCAAAACCAGCCTGTGTAAAGCGAGCCTGCCTTGCCCAGCCGTGCCCCTTCCAACCAAACTCAGCCTCCCAGCTCCTGCTCTGGGGTGTCCGGCTCTCCTAGAACAGCTCCACCCTTCTTGGGAGGTGTGGGGGGGGCAGGGGGGGTGGAAGCCTACGAGAAGGAGGGCTCTGGGGCAAAGAAGAAGGTGGGGCTGGTGGTGGGTACTCGAGGGGGAAAATCCGCCCTGAACACGGAAGGGGGTGTTGGAGTGTGTTTTCTGACGGGAAGTCTAGAAGGCAAGAACATGGGTTTTGGAATCACAGACCTGGGTTCGAATCCTGACTCTATCATTTTCTAGCTGTGTGGTTTTGGCAAGTTACTTAACTTTTCTGTGCCCGGATTCCGATCTGCACGACAGTGAGGAAGATGCTACGTCATGGGCTGCGGGAGGGTGTGACAAGCCCCTCAGTGCCTCAGCACCGTCAACACAGGGACCTCTGTCCTGCCAGAGTCACCTGTGCACTCGCCCGAAGGACAGACTCCACAAGGAAGTTCTGGACAGTGACGCACACCTGTCCCTGTGCCCAAGGGACTTTCCAGCTACTTTTCCCGGAATCTTGGGAATCCTGCTCTGCCAACCTGGTCAGTCTTTGGCTGGGAGGAAAGTATGGAAGAACTTTGACCAAGACCCTGCAGTCGAAGAGGTGGGCTCCTCGGGGCCCTGGGGCTTCTGTGCAGAGGTCCCGAGGCAGGTTAGGGCAGGGACAGACCCCTGGGAAAGCGTGGGGCGCCCCAGCCACCCAGGCTGGGAACTAACAACCTCTTCCCCTGCATCGGGGCCAAATGCAGAAGCTGTAGCAAGTGGTGAGAAGTGGGAAGAGGCTTTCTCAAGCTGCGGGCTTGCAAAACGCCCCTTCCTGGGCTTCCTGCTTGAGGCCTGGTCACTGACAGCTGTGTGTGGCTAAGGCTGACACTCTCGGCATGCCCCCAGACTTCCTGTCCAGCCAAGGTGACGCCGGCCTTGTCGCAACCCTCTTTCAGCCTTGGGCTGCCTGTGCCCAGCGGGCTGGACCTCCCGACTCCCCCACCCAAGAGTCAGCCTCAGAATGGTTCTGTCCCCTTCCAATCCACCCCAGACCAGCACCTCTGGGCTGCTCCCTCTCCAGGAGCCAGGGGCAGGCAGGGCGATGGGACACAGGAGGTGGGGAAGGGTACCAAAGGGAGGCAACTGGGTACCTTCACCACCCCCTGGCACAAGCATGGCTGGGAGAGTGAGGCCAACCACCTCGGTGCCAACGGGGTGGGACCCGGGGTGGACCAGAAGGAGAGCTGTAGCCCTCTCTCCCTAGTGGCTCCTCCGAGATGGTCAGTTTGTTTCTTTTTGGAGGGGAGGGCTGGCCCAAAGGCCTGGGGGTGCCTGTCTGACCCGGTGAGGGCACAGTGTGTGGAGTCATACAGAACAGAGGGTAGGCTGGGAGTAACTGGGCAAGTCAGAGGGAGGGCCCCTTCTGGCTACAGTGGGTGTGGGGCATGGGGGGGGAGGGGGCAGAGGGGGGATGGGCTTCTGACAGAATGCAGGGAGCAGTGGCTGCAAAGCTGCTGGGTGCAGGGGAGGCCTGGGCAAGAGGAGGAGGTTGCACTTCTAAGGCCAGAAGGGACTCAGCACCCAGGGATGACAGGGTGGGTGGGGAGGGGTTTACATGCCTGCAGAGTGGGGGACAGGGACCGAGGGGTCCCTCCCTAGGGAGACTGCTGTGGGTCAAGGCTTTGGGCCCTGGGGGAGAGTAAGGGTGGAAGGGCCAGTATTCGCCCCCAGTTTGCTATTCAGATGCTGAGTAACTAGAGGGAGGGGGGTCCCTGCCCAGGACCCACCTTAAGGGGAACTGAGACAAGTAGAGAAAACAAAAAGACCCCACCGAAAGGAATGTGGTTGGCGTGGGGCGCAGGGAGCGGTCACCCTGGAGAGGCACCAGGGGTGGGTGCCTTTGACCAAGGTGTGCTGGGGTGGGGGTGGGGAGCCCAGTAACTGGGCTGGGGAAAGGGAGGCCGCGCGGGGTCCTCAGTCTCAGTGTGCGGGCTGTGGGGCGGTGGGGAAGGGTCACCAACAGGACGCAGGTCCCGCGCCCTATTTGTGTGGTGGTGGGGGGCCTCGCGGGGGCTGGCGGTTATCTGAAGGAGCCTCGGGTCCCCCTTCCACGTGCGCGCCCGTGGTGTGCTGGGGGCCCCACCGCCGTGAGAAGGAGTCGCGTGCCAGGGGCCGGGCACCCGAGACCCTCACGTGTGGTGGGGTGGCAGGTCTCGACCTGGAAGGGGCCGCGGGGTCCCAACCCTGCTGTGTCGGGGTTCGGGGGCGCTGGGCTGGCGGCGGGGGTCCCGGGGCGGCGCGGGATCGGGGGTGGGGGTTCGGGGCCCGAGGCCGGGTCGCGGGCGGGCGGGCACTCACTGCTTGAACATCTTCTCCATGTCCTTGATCTGCTTCCTGGAGAACTCCTTGAACTCGGTGTAGGGGTTGAAGACGCGGCGGCTGGGCGACTGGGGCTCGCCGATGCCCTGGTTGAGGTCTGCGCGCCGCAGCAGCTTGGCGCTCAGCTCGCCGTCCGCGCTGCCCAGCGCCTCGGCCGCCTCGTCGGGCGCCCCGGCCGCCGCCGCGCCGTTCAGCCCGGGCTGCTCCGCGGCCGCGCCGCCGCCCTCGCCCTCCATCTGCAGCCGCCGGCTCAGCTTGCTGGCCAGCTCGTCCGTGGCCATGGTGGCCCCGCGGCGCTCGCCTGGCCCGGCCCCTGCTCCAGCGCCGCGCTCCGCCGCCGGCCGCGCTCTTCCTCTTCCTGACACTCCCCGGCGCCCGGCGCCGCCCCCGCCCCGCCCGCCCCCCGGCCCGGCGTGACGCCCTGCCGCAGCCGGGCGCGGGCGGGCCGGGCGCCGCGAGCCCGCATGGTCTCCCCGCGGAAGGCTGGGGCCCGTCAGGAGCCCCCCACCTCCGTCCCTGCGCGGGCGGAGCGGGAGAGGCCGCGCTGGCGCCGGGCAGGACCCACGGGGGGCTCCCCCTCCGCCGTTCGCGTTCGGGTCGGGAGCTGGGGGGCGCGCCCCCTCCAAGCCCCTCTCTGGAATCCCCACGCCGCGAAGTCGTAGCCCTGTGGCCGTGACACCCAGTGGGTTGCCATGGAGACGATTCGATGTTAAGGGCTGGCATTCTCAGTGAGGGTTGCCAGGGGTATGAGGAAGGCGGACCTGGGGAGCGGGGACCCCGGCTTGGATGGAGCCGTGGCTGCGGCTGCTGGCGTCTTTTGGAGAGGGCTAGACCAGGAGCTGCGAGGGAGATGGGGCTCCGGCCCGAGATGGCCCCGGCACCCAGACGGGGCGAGGGGCAGGGAAGGGGGAGGCGGGTCCTCTCCCCCGGCCCGCGCCACCGCGCCACCGCGCCACCGCAGAGATGACTCGGCGGATCCGCGCCGGGGCCGGGCTGTCGCCTGTGACTCTGCTTTAGGGGAGCTGACAGGGAGATCGCGATGCTGCCGCTTTGCTGGGGGCCCCAGAGGAGGGATGCCCTCCCCAAAGGCTTGCAGGACGTGACTGGGGGCAGGTAGAGTTCAGAGGAAATGCATCTCTGTGGTCTGGTCTGTCGCCTTACAACTGCAAAGCCGCGGACCTCCAGCCGCAGAGCCCCCCCCCTTACCCCAGGGAGCTGGTTAATAATACAGATTCCCAGGCCCCGGTCCTGGCAGACAGAACTGATCTCTGGGGTGGGACCCAGGAATCGGCGTTTTAACAAGCACCCAGGGTTGTTCTGCACACTGAAATTTGAGAATCCCTGATCTAGAAAGTTGAGAACACACTACGCGTGTGTTCTCTAAAATGTTAGGAGAATGTTGAGGAACCCCGTGCAGAAACGGCTCCCACCGGCCAAGGCGCCAAGAAAAGGTGGGTGGGTGGGGGCGGGGCTTAAAAACCAACGCTGGAGACAGAGACCGCCTGGAAAAGTGCAGCCCCAGAGCTGCTCGGAGTGATTTGCACAGAACGGACACTTAACTGACATTTGTCAATTTGCTGTGTTTAAGAACATTGCTGAACCAACTTAAAAGGCATTTAAAAAAAGAAATTGAGGAAGAAAACCTTTCAGGATTCAGAAACTATGAAATTTTCAGTTACTTGTTTGTGAGATTGTTTCTGAGTCCAATAAAGATGCTCAGCTTCGATGATTTTGTTTTTTTGAAGCTCAGAATTAAGTTCCCGTTAGTCTTGGGCAGTTCGGTGCAGCGACTTGCCGAAGGCAGGTTTCTGTGTCTCCCATACGTGGCTCTGAAGGACCCAACAAAAGTAAAATAGCTTGTTATTTAATGAATGTAAAGGACTAGGGTGTAGGTTGAAATGTTTGAAACGATCTCTGTAGATGCTTGGGTTTGCCAAATTCTTAGTCTTTCGCCCAAAGCAGCTAATTACTTTCAAAACTCTGGTAAGCCTCAATTTACCCAAATTTATGATTTCTGGTGGTTTGGCATGAAACAGGGCTGCCTTTATTACGAAATGTTTTGCATCTGCTTGACATGGAAGTAAACTTAACAGTGAGGAGATTATGTGAGGGCTTTGCCTTCTTGACAAAACAACTGACATATATGTGAAAAACCTAGGCTTTGGGGTTGAATTATTTGGACCAGCAGTATGTATTAAACTCCCTGGTCAATACCTACTTGGCTGTGTGGCCACGACCCTTGGGAGGGAGGGTGGGCTCCACGCCACCCAGGTGGGGGGATTCCTGTTCATGACCTATTATATCTTGTAAAAGGGCCACCAGATGCCAGAGCCTTGCAGCTACTAAACCCAGGCAGGGCTCAGGAAATGCTGCCCGGATGGGTGAGCCCTTTTCACACCTCTCGGGGTGGTTTTTCACGAGGTGTTCAGGGTTTGCAGAGCTCTGAGGCTCTGTCACTGCGGGGTGACACCCCAAACTGCCCAGTGCCCTGCCCTGTTTCATAGGCCACGGACCCAGGCCCTGCCTGTAGGGTGACTACTGATCTGTTCCAAAGCCAGACATGCATGCCGGGGCTACATTTTATTTGAACTTTTTTTTTTTTTTTTCTTTTGAGGCCACTGGACTTCAGGAAAAGCACTTTTCAGGGAATCAAAGAAGTAGTGAATGAAGGAAAAGCAGAGAAAACTGGTGAGGCTTGATTGGAGGTGAAACTTCCAGGAAATATCATTTGCCTTTTAATTAGAGGAAATCATTTTGAACGACCCTGAGTCATGTGCCCCAAAGCACAGATTCTGGCGTAAAGAAACGATCTGGACTGGTGACACATGACAGCATTTGGTCACGAGGAAAGAATGATCTTCAGGAAAAATCACACCCTCAGCGAGGGATTTTTACAGAGGCAGTGGTGAGCCGGAGCCAGTTCTGACGGTATTCCAGCGGCAAGGGAGGGAGGGAGACTTAGTCATCATTTCTTATGTTTCTTCTCTCCCTCCCACATCTCCTTGTATAACTGTCTTTCGGGGAGGGGCGAAGGGATATTAAGAAAAACAACAGCACTTTAAAAAGGAGGGGGGAGAAACGAGGAGGGGAGAGAGCATTGGAAGAGCTCTTGGCTAATGGGGAGATGGCCTGAACGTTGGGGACCCTCCAGGGCTGGACAGCACTGGGTGGTCCGTCCCGCCTGAGATGCTGGGAAAACAAGAACGGATCGGGGAGGCCGGCAGAGATAAAGTTGGCTCATAAAGTGCAGCGTTCGCTTAGCACTTTACAAATACCAGCTTACTAATTAATCATTACAAACGCTCCTTCCTCACCAGGAAACCCTTGATGAATGGAGAAAGGTGCACAGAGGCCAAGGATCAGGGGCAGCACAAATGCTCAATCGGAGCAATCGGAGTGAGCGCAGGACGGGGTCACAGCCTGGTTGGCCTCAGAGGTGCCCTCTTTTCTTGCAAGATCTGGAAGCCCTGCAAGAGGTGTGGGGGGAGGAGCTGATGTTGGGCAGGCATTTATGGCCTGCCAAGCAGGGAGGGGGGGGCAGGAGGAAAGGGGTTCACGAAGGGGCAGCAGCTGCAGGTAGACCCATTTGCAGGTCATTAGAAACCAACTTATCTGTGGAGCTCTCCATGTGTGGTTATCTTGGATGCTATGAATCTACTTGAAAACCAAGAAGTCTTTCAAATTAGTTGCAGATGCCCAGCTGGGCATGCTTTCTGCTTCTCAGTCACAGGCAGTTCCGTGTCCAAGTTTAACACCCTGAGAAGCCGGAGGCTGAGCCCTGTTTTAAACTCCCAAAGAAAGTGTGTGTTTGGGACAGGGGGAGGTATCTTAAAGTCCAGCCTCCTGGGCCCCTTCCAAAGACAGTAATAATACAGGCAGCTAATTTTGATTTTTATACTTGCAACAGCTACTCTGTGAAAGCAGTGTGCTGCGATGGCCAGCAATCAGGGCATATTTATTAAGTGTGTTGGGCACGGGTCCTGGAATTCTCCCGGTTGTGGGCAAGCAGGGGACGGGGTGGTGGAGGGCTGGAATAGCCATTTTCGAAGTGTGAGGTTTATTGGTCTCCACACTGGGCTACACTCTTCCAGCTAAATCCCCCTCGGGTTGGGACCCAGCGCTTATCATCATCCATAATGAAGTGTTAATAAAACGTCTGTCCTCCCCAACACAACTTCCTGGGGGAGGGGCCTGTCTGTCTGGTTCAATTTCGGATCCTCAATGCCTAGCGGGGTGCCTGGCCTGCGCGCTGGAAAAATATCTGGTGAATGAAGGCATGATTCATTCATGCTCTGCCTAGGGGCTGGGATGGATTGGGTGTTTTCTCAGTGACTCTTCCAGAGCATCCGGTGGCCCATTTTTAGGTCTCAAGGTCACTGCCAAGAAAGAGAAGCTGCTAAAGTGACACCTCTGTGTACCCACATGACTCACCACAAAGTTAACAGGAGCTCTTAATAAACAAGCCTCTCAAGTGTCCGTCCCCTGTCTTCTCTGAGGACAGCGTCAGCGGCATCAGATAGGGGTTGGGGCCCGGTGACCTGCTGGTCCTTGGGCATCACTGTGGCCCAGAGGTCATTTAAGCAGCTCTCTGCTCGGCAGACAAGGCGGAAGGAGTAGATGGAAGGTCCAGATAAACACTGCATTGTGGCCTGGGCAGGGGCACCTGAGAACTTGGGAAACTGAAAGGGACATTATGAAATTAACACATAATGAATGAGTGCAGAGAAGGGCAAAAGTAGTCGAAAGAAAGCATGTGCCTAGGCCAGGGACACCTGACTAAAGAAAGCAGGTGACTCTCGGAAGGGAGTTGGTAAACCAGGATGCCCAGAGGAAGGGAATGTGCTGAGAAGGCTGCCGTCCTCTCAGGCTCGGTCCCGGGGAGGCAGGTCTCTCAGGCCCACTGGCAAAGCCCCTTGGTGTACAACGCAGCTCTCTGATGGCAAAAGGCAGTGTGGTGTGATGGTTAGGGCCTGGGTTTGGAAATCCCAGGGGGGTGACCTTGGGCAGGTTACTTTACCTTTCTGGCCTCAGTTGCATTGTCTGTGAAATGGGAAACCACTCTTCTCTTCCCCTGGAGTACCTGAGAGGATTAACTGAGAACATTTATGTAAAGTGTTTAATGCAGCATGTGGCACATTATAAAAGCTCAAAATGCTCTCGGTGATGAAGATGACAATAATTGGACTTCCTGGTAGCCATATGGCAGGCAATAGATGTGCAGACATGAATAATCTAGTCTGGGTGACAGTTTAACATAGGGGTCAGTAAATCTGGCCCACCGCCTATTTTTATAAATAAAGTTTTATTGGAACACAGCCATGCTCATGCAGAGTTGAGACTTGGGGTTGATAAAGCATAATGGTCCTTTACAGGAAGAGGGGTTTTACTATCTTGCCCTTTACAGAGCAAGTTTGCCAACCCTAACCTCATCTATCCTGTAGACAACCAGTCCAGCTGGTTCCTGGACTTGACTGAGGAAAGTGATATATTAAGCTGTTAAAGTTATGAAGTCTGGGCTCCTACACGTGTTCTGTGATCTTGCGCAAGTTACTCTTGGTTTTCACAGGTGAAACAGGAGTGATGACAGTGAGGATTAAGGGGGATGATGTCTGGCCTGGGCTTCCCCTCAGTGTCTGATGGCCAGTAAGGACACTCTACAAAGAAGCTACTATTATTAGCTATTAAGCTTCAACTGTTGAAAGGCACCAAGGAACTCCCAGAAGAGGGTCACTGCTGCATGCAGCTCTCTTTGAAGAATGTCCAGCAGTAATCCCGTACAAAGCCAAAAATGATGCATGAATGGCAAAGGTGAGGGTGCTCATGCAACGTACCGGTGAATTAACGATTCCACTCCCTTGGCAGTGAAAACAGCAGATCAGAATGTGCAAAGGGGAGCAAGGTCAAGGCCATAGGGTAGAGCCCAGCAGCATCAGTACCTGGCACATAGTAGGCCTCCAGTACTTGTTGCCTGAATGAATGTTTAATTATAAAAATGATTTAGTTAAAGGGCATCTCTGATTTCTCCGACGATAAGACCACAGTTATCCAGAAGATGTAATTTCTGCCTCCAATATTTTAGGGTCTTAGGACGGAAACTAGTGTGCTAAAGAGAGGAAACTCAAAACAAGGACCTGCTAATGATTCTCTCCTTGGGATGGAGGGAGTGCAATGGAGTCCTGGGGAACAAAAACAAAAGCAGGCACATAAGGTCATGGATTGGCCCAAAATAACTTGGGACACTGGAGCAGAGAGATGCAGGCAGCACATCTTGATGGAAACGAGGCCAAGTTGATAAGCCGAAATAGTCTGCGCTCACTGGGTGCCCTAACTCCTGCTCCAGGAGGCCTCGGCACGGAAAACAGGGACGCATTAGCATTAGCAGGTTTGGGTTTCCTCTTGTTAGTATATTGCTTTCTTTCCTAAGTCCCTAAAAAATTGGAAACCACTCCACTTACCAGGAGCACACTTTGGAATGCAGATCCAGAAGCTATTTTTTTCTCCCTAGACATTTCATGACTCTGGTTTCTACAACAGCAGGCACTGGTGACGCTGCCAAGTTTCTGGAGAAGGGCATCTTATCTGCAAAGTCACGAATCCAGGAATCCAAATGGGCTGCCATTGGCAAGGCGGAAGGAAGTTGTTTGTCTTAGCTTCTTGGAGGATCAGAAGAAGACTGAAGGTTTTGGGGGCCTGCAGGGGAAAGGTTGCCGGTAGCTACTCAGAACCACAGTGGGGGCTGTGTAGCACAGTGTCTTAGTAAATGCCAGTTTGGTCGCACATAATAGAAACTCAAACCAGCTGCAGCAGAAAGGGGGCAGCTATGGGGAAGAAAAGCCAGTGCCTGATTGTCCAAGCCTGACTCTCTGGCTTTGCTTAGCCACTGATTCTCTCACCTTTCTGATTTGCTTTCAGTAAACTCCCTTTCTGCTTAAGTTAGCCACAGGAGGTTTCTGTTGTTTGCAAGCAAGGAATCTTGAGAGATGCAAAGGGTCCTAGTGGAACCCAAGAGCAGGTCTTGGATCTGGCCTTTGCAAGGCGAGGAACTAGGAATCAGAACGTCTGGGAATCGGGGGAACTCTCTCCTTCTGTGTCAGTCAGATATATTCAGCTTCAAATAACAGAAAATCTGACGTGGGTGGATTGTAAAAATTTGGAGCCCTTACCACACCAACTCTGGCTTTGTCTGATGGGATGTTAAGAAACACAAGGCAGGTAGAGACTTGAAAGATGCTTGTGCACCAGGGCTTGTTCTCACCTGCTGCTCCTGGGAACCCCTGACCACATGAACAAGCCTGGTCTAGCCTGCTGGAGCTGAGTGGGTGTGCTGAGCAGAGACAAGTGTCCTAGCAGAAGGACACTCTAGACCAGGTTTCTCAAACTTTGTACTTATTGACATTTTAGATCAAATAACTCTTCATTGTGGGTAGTTGTTCTGTGCTTTGTAGGATGTCTGGAGGTTTCCTTGGCCTCTACCCACTAGATGAGAGAAGTACCTGCTCCCACACCCACCCCCCTGGTTGTGATAACCAAAATCACGTCCAGACATTGCCAAATTTATCCTGGGGGGCAAAGTTGCTCCTAGTTGAGAATTACTGTCCTACCCCACCTCACCTGCCCATGACCAGGCATGTAAATGAGGCCATTCTAAACCATCCAGCCCCAGCGTGCCAGACCACACAGGAAAAGCCTAGCTTCACCCATGGAATCATGAGAAATAATAAATTTGTCATTTCAAGCCATTAAATTTTGGGTGGTTTGTTCCACAGCACGAATGTATATACCTTACTATGGTTGCTTAAATAGATAAGGATTTATTTGTCTTATACAAGAAGTACAGAGGTAGGCAGTGTGGTCACAGTTCGGAGCTCAGGGATGCCACCAGGCACCCACCCAGGCCTTGCTGTCTTTGCACTCATTGTCCTTGGCAGGTGGGCTTTGGCCTCTTGCTCGTTGCCTGGCGATCCCCAGGTGGCTGCTCTAGCTCCAAGTCTGAGTTCCAGGCATGAAAAAGGAGACAAGGCACAGGGACAAAGGGCAAATGCTTTCTCCCAGAGAAGCTTGCCTTTTATTCCAGCAGGGAAGCCCTCCTCAGGGGCTTTCATTTATATGCCATTGACCGGATCTGTACAACATGGCCCACCCTAGCTGCAAGGGAGGCAGGACAATCAAGGCCTTTGGTTTTGAGCCTATATGGCAGAGGAAAGCGATGGCTAAGTAATGACTAAGTAGACTCAGTATCTGCAGTACTTGCTGCACTGTCTCTCTGGGTTCTATAGTTTCTTATCTCTATTTGTTGCATATCTACTCCAGTCTCCTTTTTTTGAAGACTGGCTTTGTTTCTCTGAACAAACAAACAAAGACTGGCTTTGTTTCTCTGCCCCAGCCCTGGAACTGCATCAAGACTCTCAGCTCCAGCACCAGGAATGATGTGAATGGCTTCCCAGTGTCCCACCTTCCAATACCAAGGACAGAGGTGCTGATTGGCCCAACTTGAATTAGGAGAGAAATATGATTGGTCTGTCTCAAGTTGAGTATCTACCACTCAGCCAATCAGCTATGGCTAAGGGAGCAGCATTATGTAGGGCAAACCTGCTGGGGGGGGTTGCATTCTCTGGGCAATGGAGGGTGTGGTCCAGGAGATGCCCCCAAAACTATGCTTTTCTAGGAATGAAGAGAATAAATTGACACTGCGATTGTAATGCTGGTATGATAAAAATTAAGGTGTCCTTTGAAAGACCTAAAATACAGCTGAGTCACACAGACATTCTATTTAACTTACGCAAATTCAAATATAGATGTTCAACAAATAACGTATTTTTCACACGGTTTGGCTCCCAAACAGGAGCCAGCTGCTTGCACTGCTGCTTCACCAAGTGATCTGCTCTGGTGCTGGAGAACAACTTGCTGTTTGGGACATTGGGGATGTGGTTCAGCCTAAATAACACCAGGCTCTTTACAGGAAATTTCTGGAGTCTTCAAGAGTATTTGTAAGGTCGTTCTGCTCCCCTTTGTCATTGACTTTAGAGCCTAACTGTGGGTAACATGTGTCTCCCATGGAACATCACACAGAACATGTTCTATTTCTCCCCATTTTAGTAAGTATAAAAAATACATTTGGTTTTCAAATATAAAAAATATTTTTATTGTGGCTTTTTAGGAATAAAAAAAAATGTATTCATGACTTTTGGCTCTTCTTCCCATTTTGCTTGGCCACGTGGCCGTACAAGAAAGGCAGCGAGAGGGTGGGTGGGTAGAGAGAAGGCGGAACAGAGAGTGGAGCGGGGAAAACGAGGGCCTCCCCAGACGCCATGAACGAGGAGTGTGTCCACCTGGGCAGTGTGTGCTCATTGGTGACTGGGAATTTGGGCTGTCCTGTGGCCTGGGACTAGAACTGCTGGGCCATCCTGGTGTAGCGGAGTGGACAGGATGAGATGGGATTAGAAACCCACGTTCAAGACCTAAATTCTTGAATTTACTAGCTGTGTGATTTTAGGCAGGCCATTTCACTCCTCTGGGCCTCAGCTTCTTCATCTGTTAAATGGGGGGGGACACAATACTATTTACCTACCAGGGCTCAGGTGAGGATTAAATGAGAAGTGTTTTGGAGACCATAGAGTGCCATATAAACTGTAGTCATTATTACGGAACCGATAAAACTGATTGGCATTCTAAATTTATTACAATAAACGGAGATATAAATTCACTATACCATGGCCCCGACAGCCGTGAGGTTACCATTCTGCCCTGTGGCTCCAGTACAAGTCTTGGGTTTTCTCAACTGTGTCTCTGGGAGCTCCTTGAAGGCTCCTTGATGTTTGGGTACATCGTGACCCAAATGTGGAACCACGTACCTGTACCTACCAGGCCTAGGAGTCAGGGTTACAAACCTGAATTCTTCATATACCTGAGTATGCGTACTTTCGTAGGCATTTAAAAAAAAAAAAAGAAGAAGGAAAGGAAAAAGAACCCATCCCCTACACTCTCCAAAATACAATATTGTGCAAAATACCAGTCTAGAAAGAAAATATTAGGGTAACAATCTTTAAAGTCCTACAAAAGCGTCTTAGTATTTTGACACAGAAGGCACAGAGGAGTCAGATGACTCTCGGAGGATCACGCGAGGCCGGCGGGACGACGCTTCTCTAGTTCCTTCCGCCAGGCTTCGAGAGCAGAAGGCTGTGGCTGGATTTGCTGGAGGCTTCGTTCTTCAGCATCTCTCTTTCCTGGTCCATCCTTAGGGTGGCTTTCTTGATGCCAACCTTCAACAGGCAAGAGGGACACACACACAAATTCTATCATTGCAGCAAGATCCCAAAATGTTCCACTCAAATGGTTTTATTATTTTTTATACACAACATGTAAAAAAAATACACACACACACACACACACACAGATATGAGATAAAAGGAGAAAAGATGATTTATCATTTTCACACTACCCAAAGATAAGCCTTATCAGTGTTTTGGGGTACACTCTTCCAGATATACAGATATTTCTTCCCGTTAACAGTTTCACATTTTATGGTTTTGAAACCAGGAGTTGCTTATGATGAGCACATTCATCGTGATGGTGTTTGTCCTGAAAAGCTCCCACTGAATTGAATGTGTCTTAGGTCTCTGATGGCTGAGAGGAGAAAGCACAGTACATTCGAGCACCCCCCACTCCCCGGGGCGGGGGGTGTCCTGGCAGCCAAGTGCGTACCCTACTCCCTGGTCATAGCTGACTGGACACTTGTCACAGCTGCGCTTGTCAAATGATCACCCTCAGGATTTGGGGCTAGGGACTCTGAGATGCTCCTCACTTCCTGGGCTGGTCCTTTGAACCGGGGGACTGTGAGGTCATCCCTTCCTGTCACACTGCTGGAGACAGAAGTCAGCAGAGGCGTGGAGAGGACAGATGACATGTGCCGTGCGTGTGCACGCGTGTACATGTGCGTGAGAGATGGTGCCCGGGGTCCCACAGCTTCCCAGCTCTCTCCCTTCCTTTTCACGAGGCTCAAATTTCTGTGTCCTTATGAGAGTCCCCAGCCCCCCTGTCTGAGTGGGTTTCTGTAAACTGCTGCCCAAGAGTCTCTCTCACACACGATTTTGTACACACTGTAGATATGTCTGTGACTTGAAAGTTTCTCTCCAGCAGGGCTTACACGGCCAAACCCTAGCTCCCACAGACCCTCGGCTCCAAGCTGCAGGACCCCCATATTCCCGGGGCAAGAGGGCTGGGTGGTGGTCGGGTTTCAGCTCTGCCACTTACTACATCACCCTTGGTCTCCTCACCTGTCAAAGAGGGACCAGAACATCAGTCCCGTCTTCCTCAGAGGGCCGAGAGGGGATTCCGAGAGGATTCCAATGAAAGGGTCTGTTAGGAACATCCCTAAAGCTCTTTTCACCTTAAGGCCTGTTTAAAAATCACCCTGAGACCTGTGCCAGGAACCGCCAGGAGCCTGGAATGTGTTTGAGACCGCATTCCAGATCTTTCCAGAGTGAGAAAGGCCAAAACCGCTGCACTAGCCCACAAAGTCAATATTGGTCCGAGTGCCCAGGGAAAAAGAAAACGGCAAACATCAAAAGCCTTTCCCTCCAAACAACCCTTCCTTTATATTCCTTTACACTGGATTTTCAATAAAATTGCTGACTGTGGACGGTTCCCAAATAAATGCCAGTGCCCTGACCCTGTGTGGAGCCGGCTGTCGGGGCTGGAGCCAGGGAGTTTGCTAAACATGAAGAATCCCAGGTCCCTGGCGCCCCTACCTCCAGGTCTGCCAGGAGCCTGGGCTGGGAAGCGCCACAGAAGGAGCTTTGGTTCTCTCTGTGGTGTGACGAGGGAGGGGCAGCAGGGAAGGCTGACCTGGGAGGGGACGGGACTGGCAGTGTGCCCATGCACGTGTGGGCGGAGGGGCTGGGAGCCGGCGAGTCCAGCCTGACACCACGCATTGGAGCCACCTGCCTCACCCTTAGAGTGAAAAGGCAGAGGTTTAAATGGCAACGACCAGATGGAAATGAACTCAGGACACACTGGGGTGGCTGCTTCCATCTAGGCAGCCCCTGCCTGTCCCACACAAGCTCGGGTCTCCCCTCCCCAGGGAGGCCCCTGCTGGTGCCCAGACCGGGCAGGTCCCTGTGAAAATGCTCCTGAGCTCGGTCCACGGGCCACGGACCTCAAGACACTTTGCATAAAGGAATTATTAACTCATTACGTGCATTTAGGCCTAAAAAAATATGGCCCGAGACTGTAAGCCAGGAAGGCAGGGATTTTTATGTGTTCAAATCGATCTAATTCTGTGTTTCTCAACCTTCTTTTCATTATTGCCCCCACCTCAGACTTCTTAGATATTTTTTCCTAATGCCTCCCACCCCTTTATAGATAGCACTGGGTACATATATATGTGTGTGTGCATATATATATATATATAAATCTACATATCTGTATAGGTACATGTCTGTGCTTTATGTAGAAAATGAATGAGTTTTTGTGGGCAGCCCTCAGGTTTTTGCCCTCTCAGGAGTGACACTACCCTCTTGGAGGGTGCGTGATCGAACCTCAGCACCTAGACAGACCCTGCCACATGGTCTCGGGCTCTCAGGCAGCATCTGTTGAGTGACAGAGGGCCAGGACAGTCTCTCTTTTTGTTCACTCTTCTCTCCCCAGTGCTTAGCACAGTAGATGGCCTAGAAAATTTTCCTGTTTAGCATATAACCTGCAAACAATTATAAATGACTGGTAGCCATAATGAAAAAAAAAAAATCAATGGATGGCATTTTGGAGGACAGAACACAAAACCCATAGGGCCTTGAAAAGAGAAGAGATTCCAGTTCTGAAGCTTGCCAGAGAGAGACTTTTATGAACGGGCACGATGGAAGGAGTGGCTCTTATGGGGCTGCTTTCTTTAACGTGGTCACGATGACTCTATCACCCTGTGGGCCCAAGGCAGGTGACAGAGGAGGGAGACCCTCTACAACTTTGCAAGGAACCTGGAGGAAATCCTTTTGCACCGAGGAGATCCTAGACACCAAACTCCTAAGCCCTGGCTGGAGGGCTGGGAAAACGGGAAGATCACTCTTTGCTCATGGCTGCCGCACCGTCTGTCCGCATTCTGTTGAGGCCAGGGGAGGCCTGAAATTCCAGGGGGCTTCACATCTCAGAGAAGCACAATATTCTCACGATGTCCGGGCCCATCTGGACTCCTCTGTCATTTTACATCCTCAGCCAAAAACCTAGCTGCAGGACAGCGTCTGCCTGCTCCCGGGTCTCTAGGGTGCCCGGATGAATAAGCGACAGGCTCACTCCCTCTTCCCCCTTTGCAGGGTGGCAAAGGTCTCAGGTCTAGGGAGGCCTGGGGACACCCTCTATCCTCCTAATATCCTGCTAACGGCAGTAGCCGCCTTCTAGTCTTAGGACAAGGGTGTTGGTTGAGGAGGGGCTTCTATTTTCCAAAAATGTCTCTTGCATAGAGTATCTTTGGTTTTTCCAATGATAATTTTATTGTCTCAAAATAACTGTGGCCTTTTATCAAACTCGAATATATCTCCTCTCTCATTCACTCAAAACGCATTTAGCCTTCCAGCTTCCTGAGAGTGCGCCTCTACTTTCTGCAAAGCGGAATACGGGTTGGGTCAATTCCAGTTCCGGGGTTGAACTGTGAATGGCAACGGTTCAACATGTCTAAGATTTCAGAGCCTTGATTATCAACTCTTAAAAAAGAGTATTCTAGCGGATGCTCCTTGAAATTCAAGAGAAATGCCACCCAAAGCATGTCAGGTTTGCTACCTGAAGGAGAGCAAGGGGCACTCACCTGGGGTCACAATCACACGGAGTTCCCCTACTTAATTGTGTGGCTCTAACAAATTAAAGTCTCTGAGCCTCAGCCCCCTCATCTGTAAATTGGGGACGATAACCACACCCACCCCACGGGGTGCTGCGACGATTGCTGGGCACTCAGCTCTGCGCCCGGCACACACTGAGCGCTCAGTACCTAACAGCTACAGCGCTACGGTCAGCTGCATTCCTGCTGACGCCCTGCTGTGCTCTCTTCTCTTTCTGGCTCACCTGGGAATTTGAGTTCTGCATCCTTTTCTTCACCATCTCTACAAATATTCTTCTCTTTAATACAGAAAAAATATTAACAAAATTTAGCTTGTGTTCCTCTTTGCCTTTTGAATAAAAGAAAGATGGGTTTTTCTCAACTTGCAGATGCTACCCGTTGGGAACATGGGGCTTTCCCAGGAACAGGGAGTGGCAACGTGATCTGCAGCGGGTGGGGGGACGTGTGGCTCTGGGAGCCCTGGTGAGCTGTCCCCCTGAGTCTCTTGGGGACCTTTGTTCCAGGTTCCAGCAGAGGAGACTGGCCACCTGGGGGGGCGGGAGCCCTGCACTCTTCTTGGAGGGCGAATCTGCTTTGGCTGGAAGCAGAGCCTCCCAGAGCAGGTGGAAGGGGCTACACATGTCCCATGGTTTTCCACCTAAGCCTCCCAACAGCCCAGGCACGATGGGACCCACAGTGGCTAAACTCCCTGCAGGGAGACCAGGGACGACAGGCGGGCCTGTCTGGAAGCCACTGTTACCCCAAATCTGCAGCTTGCTATTTCCCTGGAGTTTGATCTACAGTTGCTGACACTGGCGTCTTCCAGACACCTGTACTTCAGGGACGGCTCTCTGAAGACAGAGCACACCCTAGGTGCTAGAGAGACAGCAGGGAGGGGGAGAGCTGAGCTGCAGTCTCCCTCTCAGAGCCCTGAGCTCCTCCTGGGCTCGCCAACCTGATGCTGCCAGGGGCCCGGGAAGTGAAAGAAGAGGGCGCAATCGGGACAGCAGCAATCCCAGGAGCACGGGTCCTCAGGTGGCCTGTGGGATCGTGGGCCAGTGTCGCCTGTCACAGCATCCAAGTTTCCCAGAGAAGCCAGAAATCCAGCATATTTTGTGAAAGTGCCCTGTTTTGAAATGCTACTTAAAACAAAACAAAACAAAAAACATCCCAATGTCCCATGAGCCAAAAGCAGCACATCTGTGGGCTGCCGTTTTCTGACATCTGCTCAGAGCATCCCACCCTGGCATCTAGTTGGTGCTCAGTAAATAGTTGTTGGAGAGCTGCCAGGTAAAATAAAGGCTGCCGTTCAACTTGAATTTCAGAATGAAAACAAACGCTTTTTAGAAGTTTAAGTTTATAAGTAAGTATAAGTCCCATGCAGTATTTGGGACATACTTACACTAACTGTTTGTCATTTTTATACTAAATAACTGGGCATCCTGTTGTGGTCACCCCCCTTTTTTCTGGTGACCCCATGTGGCACTCCCAAAACTCATGGAGGAAGCAGGTCAGGCTGTCTTTTGGGATAGGGCCGTAAGTGCTCGTAAGTCTCTTCCATCCTCACAAAGCAGCTGTCTGCGAAGGCTTCCAGCCCGTATTTAGCTGACAGCTGCCCTCTAGGAGGCCTCGAGCTGTGGCCACTCAATATTTATCACAAACGTATTGAGAGGAACTGCACTCAGAGGACAGTCACCATCCAAATTCCCAGATATGGTAAAGCAGTGGTTCTAAACCAACCTACCTTCCTGCCTGCCTGCCTTCCCTTTGGCCCCAGCAGAACCCTCTACCCAAGCAAAGTCCCGAGAGGACTTGGCGCATGGGCAGATGAAGGAGCGCTGCTCTGGCGGAGACAAGGCGAGGGGTGCTGACGGCCACACACTTCCAGGGCACCCCTGGGCTCCGGCGAGCTCCAGTGTGGACACTGCGCCCAAGCCCGCTCCTGGGCTACGTCCAATCAGTGGGCAGCTGCGCCCTGAAGAGCAGAGCCCAGCCCCCCACACCTGCTGCCACCGAACTTCCCCCGGCTCACTGGGGGCGGCACCCGCCTGTCTCCAGAGCTGTTCTGAGCCGCCGCGCTGCTTCCGCACTGAGGCTGTTCCCTGGGACGTGGTTCCTTACATCATCGGCTCTGTCCTATGCCCACGTGCGAGCCTCCCGCCGCGGAGTCTCACGGGAGCTGTGAGCTGCGGACCAGGCCGGCTTCCCATTTCTCCTTGGCTGCCAGGAAGGCCGGAGTCCAACGAGGCCCCCCCACCCCGGCAGGTGTGGAAGCTGCCACAGTAGGCACTTCCCCCTCGTTCCTGGCTTCCTTCTGCACCCCCTGTCCCCCCTTCCTTCACCCCACTTATTCCGTCCTTAGGGCAGGGGCTCCGGGATTGCCTGCTCCTCCCTTCTTCTTCTCCCATGACCTTGTCTCCGATCCCCAAATCACTGACGCCTACGATGGCTGCTCCGTCAGCCAAAAACGGCACCTGCGTTTCCCCTCTGCCTCCTCTCACCTCTAGACACCGCCGTGGCCGCTTCGCTTGTCTCTGAGGCCTCGTGTGCCAACCGCGGGCAGGTGGGGTCAGGGTCGGGGGCCGGGAGGGGACGGGGCCGGGGGTGTGTGGTGTTCCCTGGGCGTCCGCACGCCCTTGGCTCTTACCCCGCGTGCAAGCCTGCCTCTACTGTGTGTCTGGCTGCAACAGCAGAACACCCCTCCATACCTGCCTGTCTCTCTCTTTGAAGGAACAGTTGCAAGGTGTTGGTTCTTTTGCATTTCTCTGTTCGAGCTCCTCTACGCGTTCCTGAGCGAAAATATCGGGTGAGCAAGAGAGTGTTGAGTATGTTCTTACCTGTTCCAGTCTGGGCCACGCCTCTGAGGGTCCCAGCAGACACTGGGGCTCGCTGGTGGTGAGGATGGGTGGGGAGTGGTGGTCTTTTCCTTGAGCCGTATTTCACCCACCCGTCGCACCACTCCAACCACGTTTCCCTTCTGCATCCTTCCGTGGGCCCGAGGGCACCACTCCCAAGCTCCCCATCCCATTCTCATCCTACACAACATCTCTCAATTTCTACTCGTTGGTCAAAAACACACAGTGGTGCCGAAAAACCAAGATCTTGAGACTATCCGGGACCAAGGAACTCTTGGAAAATAGTGAGTTGAATAGAATAGCGAAGACAGTGATGATGGTATAAGAGCACGCATTGAGTGGCCCTATTTGCTAAGAGTCTTGATTAATTAATTAATTGATTTTTTAGAGACAGTCTATGCCACCCAGGCTGGAGTGCAGTGGTGTGATCATAGTTCACTGCAGCTTCAAACTCCTGGGTTCAAGTGATCCTCCTGCCTTAGCCTCCTAAGTAGCTGGGACTGCAGTCTGGTGGCACCACACCCAAGTAAATTTTTCTTAGCTTTTTGTGGAGATGGGGTCTCACTATGTTGCCCAGGCTGGTCTCAAACTCCTGGCCTCGAGCAATCCTCCCACCTTGTCCTCCCAAAGTTCCAAGGTTACAAGCCTGAGGCACCTTGCCTGTCCTGCTAAGGGCTTTGTGTGCCTGTCCTCATGGAATCGACCCTTATGAGTTAGGCATCATTTTGATCCTCATCTTAAAGACGAGGGATCTGAGCTCACTGAGCGGAGGGACGGTTAGGGGCTCCAGCCCAGCTGAGACCACCTGGCAAAGCCAAGCCCCGTGGGCAGGGTTTGGTTGGCTGGAGCCTGGGGGGGAGCGGAGCCGCCGCCCCAGCCAGAAGCCGCCTGTGCATTTCAGCTGTTCTCACGCTTCGAGTCCTAAGAGAGGCCTGAGAAAGGCTTTGCGTCCCCCTCAAAGGGCAACTTCTGTGCATTTAAAGTTTCTCTATTGAAAATTCCGGTCTTGGCCCATTCACGGGAAGTACCGGCCCTTCCTTGGCCGCCCCGGGCTGTATCGACCAGACGGGAGAGAGAGCCGCACAAAGGCGCTGCCGGCTGGGAGGGCCAGAGGGAGAGCTCGGGGCTCGCCGGCTCGTCAGCGGGCAGGAAGCTCTCTGAAAGAGATGCAGGAACTGTCCCCACCACCCTCGACTTGCCTTTTCTCTTCCCCATGGTAACCGAGTGACCGAGCCCGCCACGTGCCCGGCGCTGCCCGCGTCTCCTCTTACCCTCCCAGCCCCAGGAAGGAGGCCCCACTGCCGCCGCTGCCACCGCTGTTGAGAAAGCTGAGACCCGGAGGTGGAGGACTGCGGGTCTCTCGGGGGCAGAGGTGGCCTTGAACCCCATTTGTTTGGCTCCAGAGTCCGCCTCTTAGCTCCGAGGACACTGTAGCCTTACCTGGCAATGCAGGAAGTGGACTAGAGGGGGCACAGCCTGGGTCGCTGTCACTGCGTATTGTCCCAGGGAGGGACTGGGAGGGCCGTTATCTGGGGGTCCCGTTTCTGCTGCTGAGTATCGGGGTAATGCCACCCTGCGTCCGCCCTCTCAGGGGCTGCACGGCCAGCTCTCCTTGCAGGCTGCTGGGCGGCGAGGCACGTGCCTGCAGGCGGTGAGCTCCGCACCTGACGCCATGGGCTTTGCCACGACCGTGCTACCTGTCCAATCTTTCCCTATGCTGTGAATTCCAGGAATTTGAGAGTTCCCAGCTCTGGCTCTCCTGCGGACCCCGACACAGGCTTAACGCGGCCATTTCAGACCCTCCTCCACGGAAGGCTGCCTGGTGCCAACAGCCTGGCCGGCCCTGCCTTGTGTGTGAAGGAGGCGGCCCATGAATAATGCATGTGCAGCGGATTATGCAAATCCTTAGGTTTTCTTGCATTTTCAGCCAGCACACGACAATGGGCTTTTGGGGGCCCTTTGCCGTCCCCTTCTGTGGTTTGGTGTTTCTGCTTTGGGGCCCGGCCTGCCAAGCCCTGGGGGACGCCTGGGGAAGGAGCCAGCTCTCCAGAGGGCACATCAAAGCACCAGCCAGTCCTCTGTCCCTGTCCAGCTCTCCCTGGCGTGGCACGGAGTGAACGGAAGCCAGCCTCTGCCTGAGGCAGCCCCAGGACACGCGCAGACTGAGGCTGTGAAGTCTAATTCAGAGCGGTGAATGCTAGCACCGCCACATCCGGGCTCCGCCGGAGCAGGACGGCTGCCTTCGTGTCTGGCCTGCAAGCCAGGGCCCTGGTGGAAGGGTCCAGGGTGGAGGGCGGGCTTCCGCGGGAGCCATCCACCAGCGCCTGCTGGCTGGGCAGGGGGCTTCCTCCTATGGGGGCTCGGTCTCCTCTGAGCCCAGGCAGATGACACACATACACATACACACGGTGACACACGTGTAAGCATGTACACACACACACAGAGCCAAGTCAGAAAAGCTACCAATCACAAGGCGGAGACCCGGGGCCAGCCCCGCAGAGAGCCCGGGCGCTGGGGCGTGAGATCCCTGGGCACAGTCCCGGCCGTCCCCGCCAGCTGCTGTGTGAACCCGGGCGAGTCTCTTAACTCTCTGAGGCTCGGCCTGCTCATCTGCAAAGTGGGCTCGCTGTACCCGGCAGGGCTGTTGGAGGCATTCTTAAGCCTGACTGCGCTGCAAGGCACGGATGGGCCCAGGCCCGGCCTGCAGACGTCATGAAGAGCGAAGGTGGCCATGGCTGTTTTCCCTGCTTGCCTGACCCCGGCCTTGGGATCTGCTCTGCCTCAGGCAAGAGTCGAGGGAAAGGGAGAGTCTGATTCTGTTTGGAAGTCACCGTTCCGGTGCCTGGCCCGGAGGAGGCCCAGAGATATGCCCGGGGGCTGCAGGAGGGAGGGACAGAGGTGTCAATTGCAAACACAAAGCCCTTCTGCCAGGCACTGGGCAGCTCGGGTGGTCAGGGAGCTTCTGAAACCGGCCGGCCGCTGGTCACGGGACCCACCTGAGAGACCACGCACCCAGGCCACGGGCAGCACAGAGAAGGCAACATCCACCTGCCGGAGCCAGGAGCTGAGCGGGTACTTTAAAGACGGCACAAGTCCCCTCACCATCCGAAAGCACTTGGCTCCCGAGTTCAGGCAGCGAGGGTGTGGCCGGCGAGGGACGCCTGCGATGTCTTCCATCCCCACGGCCACCCGGCGCGGCAGGGGCAGTGAGCTCCACTTACTGACGGGAAAGCAAGGCTCGGAGAGGGGAAGAAACTTGCACAAGGCCGCACAGTTAATGAGTGGAAGATCTGAACCCAGGGCAGACTGATTCCTGCCCCGTGTTACAGATGAGGTGCTGGGGGAGGGAGAGTCAACCCATTTCGGCTGGGCCCCCAGCCTGAGCCTGGAATCTGGGTTTCTCAGGCCAGCGCCATCGTCAGCTCCGTGCCAGGGAGCAGGCCTCATCCTCCTGCCTTTCCTCTGGCTCCTTCAGCCCGGAATGTGTGCCCGGCCGTCCCTTTGGTGGACAAACTCCCACTCTCCTTTGCAACTCAGGGCGGGTCTCAAGGCTGTGGGAGGCCCTCGCTGAGTGCTCCAGGCTGGTGGATGTCCTCCCCTGGGCCCCAGAGCCCCAGGCACCCTCCTGACACGGCCCTCACCCCACTGCGTCGGCCTGAAGTCAGCTCTCCACCCGTCCGTTCCACACTACAGGGTATGGCCTCTGAGGACTTCCATCCTGTCATCCACCTGCCCACTTCTTGGTCCATTGCCCATCTATGCAGCCATCCATCCATCTGTCCATCCATCAGCCTGTCTGTCTATCCACCCATCCATTCACCAAATCGTTACTGGGTGTCTCCCATGCTCTAGTCTAGGTGCTCAGAATAGTGAGCCCAAATCTCCGTTCTCAGAGAGCTTATTCACCTATGTCTTCCAGCACCTGGGAGAACAATACAAATACGAATAGCAGCCACCATTTAAAGAGATGAAAAAGATGAGCACCACGAGTCTCAGAGAGGTTAAGAAACCTGCCTCAGGTCACACAGCAGGTGGGAGAGCTCTGGTTTGAACCCGGGTCTGCCTGATGCTGAGGCTCTTCTGCCGCCCCCTTGGCATCAGCCAACGCTCCCACACCGGCGCCACCGCCGCCACCGGGAGCCGAGGGCAGCTGGGAGCTTCCGCCCGGGCAGGGGCGTCTCACCTTCTGCTGCCTGACCGTCCTGTTGACCCTCTTCTCCTGGTACAGCTGGTGCTCCGTGCGCTCCAGGGCCTCCCTCAGCAGGGCCTTCTCCTCCGTCTCCTTGTAGATGTCGTCCTCCAGCTTGGACACCTGTGCCTGGTACATCTGGACGGACACTTTGCTCTGCCTGGGGGCACAGGGGGACAGTCTCTTTTCCCTCGTTGTTCCCATCCATCCTCGGCGCCCCAGACCCCGAAGCCTCTGCAAAGCCTCCACAGAGGGCTCGAGGAGGACCCTCACGACAAGCCGATTTGGGAGCGAGGGCAGCGCGAACAGCTCCTCGGCAGTCTGCGTGGCGGAGCGTGGCGAAGGCTGTGCCGCCGCGCCTCCCACCTCCCGGGGGCTGCGGCTGCTGAGAGCACGGAGCTGTCAGGGCCACACAGGTGGCAAGTCGTAAGCCAAGGGTCATGAAAGGCGCAGCGTGCGCAGGAAGACAGCACACAGAACGCAGACACCGGGCACTTCCGTGGCCGCTTTCTCACAGACAGACTCGCCTCCATCAGGCCTGGTCTTGGTCGCTGTCCCTGCCCCCTTCTCCCTACGGACACTCTGCCCTCCGGCCCCAGGCCAAGCTGTCTGCTGCCTGCTTGTGTTCAGCCAGAAGGGAGGCCCGGGCCTTTCCCCGGGGACGGGGGGGCCCCGCAGTACCTGAGCTGCTCGATGTCCTTCTCGTACCCTCGCAGAAGCTCCTCTTTCATCTCCAGCCGGCTCTTGAGTTGGGTGATCTTCTCGAACACCAGATCGAGGTCCCGCTGTCGAAGCTGGCTGACTCTCTCCCTGTCTTTGGGGGACAGGCACTTCATGGACATGTGACCCGACATGTCCTTGATGTTCATCAGACTTCCCAGCGTTTTGCTCATGTCCATGTACTGCAAGGAGAGCGACTGGGATCAGAGGCTTGGCCCCAGGCCGCCGGCGGCCGCTTTAAGGAAGCAAACGTCTAATTCTGTTTCACCCATTTTCTGCAGTCACAGAGAACAGATGCTTTGGAGCAACCTGGCTCTAGTACAACTTTCATTTTCTCCACATCCATTCCCACTTTGCCTTTTTTGAGAACCAGAGGGGGAGATGACAACAGATGTAAACATTCATTCTAAACACCCAGTTTCCCAAGGAATTAAGCTATGCAATTTCTGACCCGTGCTGGGATAATAGATGGGTCTTTTTTTTTTTTTTTTGAAACAGAGTCTTGCTTTGTTGCCCAGGCTAGAGTGAGTGCCATTGCATCAGCCTAGCTCACAGCAACCTCAAACTCCTGGGCTCAAGCAATCCCGCTGCCTCAGCCTCCTGAGTAGCTGGGACTACAGGCATGCGCCACCATGCCCGGCTAATTTTTTTCTATATATATTAGTTGGCCAATTAATTTCTTTTGGTTTATAGTAGAGATGAGGTCTCGCTCTTGCTCAGGCTGGTTTCAAACTCCTGACCTTGAGCAATCTGCCCGCCTCGGCCTCCCAGAGTGCTAGGATTACAGGCGTGAGCCACTGTGCCCGGCCAATAGATGGGTCTTGCAGAGTTATTAGAACAACTAAAAAGGTATACGAGGCTGATACTTAGCTAAACTATCTTATGGTTAACAAGGACTGCAGGGGACCCAGGCTTTGGGGGCGGGGGACGGATGTCACATGTACATACCAGCTTTTCACTGAGCTCTAATGCCTCACATGCATCCATCCTCCCCGGCTTCTCCACTGCTGAGCTGGACCCTGGGTTGTAAAAGCCATTCTGGGGCTGAAATCACAAAGAAGGGAAAACTCTCTCTTGGCATTCCCTTATGGACGTCTCCAACCAGAGGCTAACGCGCTGTGTGATTACTGAGGAATAACTCAAGAGAGCTGATCTCCATTTCGGCTCCTGAACATTCAGTCTGATTTCTTTGCCAACTGCTTTCTTATCATTGTATTCCTATCTTTCAGAGAATGACTCTTTCTTTGAAATGATGCATCATTTGTATCTTGGATCACTGTCTTCCTTCTAGAACGGTGGCTCTCAGTTTGGGGGATTTTTGTTTCCTGCCCTGGGACATTTGGCAGGGTCTGGACACATTTTTGGTTGTCACAACTGAAGACGGGGAGTGCTACCGGTGAGTTTGTTGAATGAACGACTGCAGGTTAGATAGAAAATATCCCCCTCCTTTTATGAAAGGGATCTCGTTTGCACACAGCAGAAACTAGGACCCCGGGAAGTCTGGGCGAATGTTCTCCCCGTGTGGAACCGGGCAAGTGAGCATCAGCCCCGACCCTTGCCAGAGACGGTTGCAGGGCGGCAGGTGCTCACAGCTGTGTGCGCTAAGACGCCACACGACACGGCCAGCCGGCTGCGGAGAGCCCCAGCCGAATGCACGAAAAAGCCACCAGGCCAAGCAGGGAAGGCCGCAAACAGCCCTCTCGAATCTCCTTACAAATAAATTGTGATTTCGGTGTTTGCCGCGAGCAGCACCAATGATGGCAAAAGTCATCTCAGCCCGTGGTGGTTACCGGCACTACACTGGAAACCGCTGAGATTTAAAACAAAACCAAACCCAATTACAAATATACAGAGGCCTAAAGCTTTATAGGTCTTTGGACTTTATAGGACTGTGACAGGCGAGGAGGACATATTTGTTCTGCATTAAGAGTGGATGTATTTATCTAGCTGCAGAAACAAGAATGAAGCGGGCGTTTGCGGGTGGCAACTGCGCAGATTTGCTGCAAGAGAACACAAAATGCAGCTCGGCATCTCCTGCCCCCTCAGCTGCACCCTCTGCACCCAGGACCCCCTCCTGGACCTGGTCTCTCCAGGACCCCCTCTCCTTTCCTGAAGGTGGCAGAGGTCCTGAGGGAGGGTCATCTGAGGAAGAGTCTGGGCTGCAAGTTCAACGACACTGTCCCCACCTCCTTCTCTGCAGACTAGCGACCTTCAGGGACATAGTCCTGGCTCCACCCTTCATTATCTCTGTGACCTTGGGTGAGGTACTTGACCTTCCGAAGACTCAATTTTTCTCATCCGTAAAATGGGGATAATAGCGACTACGACCCAGGCTGTTGTGTGGATTCAATGAGACCACGAAGGGCTCAGCCCAATTCCCGGCACACAGGGCACACTCAGTACATGCCAGCTGTTCTTCCTCCAGCTCCTTCTCTTCTTTTAATTTTAATTACTGCCAACCTTGGAGGACTGAGGTCTCTTAAGAGAGTTGACACACGGTTTCCTGCCTCGTTGTGTCAGTGGTGGGACTGGGGTTACTGCAAGGGGGAGCCAAGTCTTGGGACAGAGTGCGGCTGTGAATCTAGCTGACCTCCTACCTGGAGAGTGACCCTCCACTCCCGGCCTTGGGGAAGGAGGGTTTGGTTTTATCAAGAAAACCAGCTCATTTCCGAAGACCTTCTAAAGCAAATGTCCAGCAAAACTACTGGGAGAGAACATTGGTACAGATAGGACGGACTTGGTATTTCTTCTAAAGGCCTGTGTGTGGCTTGGAGCTGGCTTGGCAGCACTGTACTCAGTGGGTCCTATGATGGACCCTGACCTGAACTGTCCCTTGTCACATGTCCATCAGACGCCCAAACACCCATTTAGGGCATGAGTGCACCTTCAATCTCACATGCAAATCACTTCTGAAAATCCTGGCAAATAAAACTGTGCCTCTTTAAGAAGAGAAGTTCTCCTTTGAGTAATAAATAGTATTTAAATCATATTTAATAGGCCGGGCGCAGTGGCTCACGCCTGTAATCCTACCACTCTGGGAGGCAGAGGCGGGCGGATCGCTCAAGGTCAGGAGTTCGAAACTATCCTGAGCAAGAGCGAGACCCTGTCTCTACTAAAAATAGAAAGAAATTAATTGGACAACTTAAAAATATATAGAAAAAATTAGCTGGGCATGGTGGCACATGCCTGTAGTCCTAGCTACTCTGGAGGCTGAGACAGTAGGATTGCTTGAGACCAGGAGTTTGGAGGTTGCTGTGAACTAGGCTGATGCCACAGCACTCTAGCCCAGGCAACAGAGCAAAGACTCTGTCTAAAAAAAAAAAAAGAAATCATATTTAATAATAAGAACAGCTATCATTTATTAAGTGTTCACTATGAGCTAGGCACTGGGCTAATCACAGAATTATCTCCTTTTATTTTTTCATCACCATTTTACAGCTGGGAATTGGAGTCCCAGAAAGGTTAAGAGCCTTGCTCAGAGTCACACAGCTTGCAGAGCTAGGATTTGGACACATGCCCCTGGGGCTCCAGAACTTGCATCCTCTTAAGAGCTCGCGGCTCCCTTCTGCTACCTTGCACGTGTTCATGCTTTTCAGTTTACAGGGAAATGTTATAAAATGTTATAACTCAGCCTGGTTAACATGTTTTTCAGAACATGTTTTTTACATGTGAGGTGAAGAGGGGGACTACCACGCTTTAGTACTCGATCTGGCCCAATGGCCATGCAAGGACACACCATGCTGTGCTCAAACAGAAGGCCACCTTTCTGTGCAAACACCGGACAATGGGTGTGGCCAGGGCACCGACCAGCGAGTACGGACGCCGGCCCGTCAGGGAGGCCCCGGCCCCGAACCACTGACAGACACGGCTGTGCGGGGCACCGGCGAGGGTCTGCCCGCAGGCCTGCCCGCTCCACGAGCCGGTCACTGCAGAGACAAAGTTGCTTTGGTTACCGCTGGGATCTCTATTCTTGAGAGAGCTGGAAAATCAGGTTTTGTGTCCAATAATATGTTCTGGACATTTTTTTCCATCCTGAGAGTCTTTAATTCTAGAATCGATTCATTCAGGTGGTCCTTACGGCCTAGAAAAGAAATAATTTAGACTCAAAAGGAAGGCTCAGGAAGCAGTTATTTCGTGTAATAACCACAGCTACCACTTATGGGACACTTACCACAGGCCTGTTTTAATCCTCACGACCTCCCTTGGCAGATGAGGAAACTGAGGCCTAGAGAGATTAAATGACTTGTCCGAGGTCACACAGCTAATACAAGGCTGCAGCCACGCAGGTGCCAGCGCCAAGGCACCCAGGGTGAGCTGTGCCTAAGGTCCCTCAGCCACAGAACAAGGGCAGGACTCGAACCCAGGCTTCCGGCTCCTAGCCCCGTGCCCTACACAGCAGTAAGCTCCAACTCTTGAGAGAGCCCCATCCCCGCTAAACGGGGTACTCTGCAAGGTTCCCCAACGCTGGTCCTCGGACAGTGTTAGTCCATGACAGTTTCCACCCGGCCACAGCGAAATAAGCAAAAGGACAATAGTGAGTTCTTCACTGAAATCCTGTTTATTTAATCTCAAAGTCTGCTCTTCACTCTGAGCTCACGGCCTGTCCATCTTTTTTTGTATTGCAATGTCCTTGCAGTTCTGAAATCATGGGGACAAGAGACGACAGTCCTGGCAAGTCCGTCAGTCCCCACAGCGAGCCCGAGTTTGGGCTCCACCGCTTTGGCCAGGAAGAAGGAGACTTACTTGTCAAGCAGGCCTTCTCGAGCTCTTTAATGCGCGCACGCAGTTCAGACAAGGCCTTTTTCTGACGCTGGATGACCTCCTCGTGTCGAGATCCTTTGCACTTGACCCCCAGGTCACTGAAGGATTGCTCCTGTGGGCAGAATGGTGCAGACAGCGGTGGATTAGGGATGAGAATATCACTCTTATAGTCACAGAAACATGGGCAATTCATGCATAGCAGAAACTCTGTCACTTAGCACGTTTGGAAAATACTATAAGGGCGTCAGCAGAGAAGGAATTTAAATTTCTCATCTCAAATATCAAGTCACATCTAGGAAGATTTCCAACTTTCCTACCTACTTAGCATCACTATAAATAAAAGATCTCCTCTCTGTTCCCTTTCCTCGTTTTATTTTTTATTTATTTTTTCTTCTAATATTCTTCTATGCCTGGGTTTCCACTTGTTGTCATTATGGTCTTGTTTATGAACAATCACGCCAATCTACTCCTGGCGGGGCATCTTTAGATGAGAACACATGATACTTTCCTTTTAATTGGTAATAAAAAAGGCTTGTCTGATATTTGCTAGGGGAAATTTGATACACTGGCCCTTGGTGGTCTGGAGAAAGGAAAACCTTCCTGAGACTTCCGGAGCCCCTGGAAGAGCGCTGTCCCACAGAGCTTCTGTGATAGTGGTGGTGTTTTATGTATGCACCCCCCAACACGGCAGCCACTGGAGACACAGGGACCTCACTGCACAGCTTGGGCTTGCACCGGCTTAACTGAGGGTACAGATAGGAAAGGTCTTCTTCATCTTTTAAGAGCCATGCACCCTTTTAAGATTTGGAAGAATGCAGGGTTCTTTTCTCCAGAAAAAGTCACATGCACGCAATATTCTGCACGTAAATTCTAGAGGTTCAAGTCCTCCTGGGGTGCAGTCTGACTGCAAGTTAAACAACATTTGTTGGGGTGAGCAATTCATTAGCTCGTTCACGCAGATTTACGTGTGTATGTGCCAAGCCTCGTTCCAGGCTTTGGGGATTCAGCAGGGACCAAGACCGAGACAGACAACGGGGAGAGAGGTGGGGAAAATATACGGTGTTTAGCGATCAATGGTAAAGGGGAAATTGAGTGGGGAGATGGGACGGGGTGCTGGGAACGGCTTGCCATTGGAGATAGAGCTGCCAGGGAAGGCTGCAGTCAAACCGCAAGAAAGGGAAAAATTGACAATCTGGTTCTCTTATAATAATTTTTAAAATAACAATTTTGGTTCACTTCGTACATATATAGAGATAGATATAGATATAGATGATAACGTATGCAGCATGAAGGGAACCGAAATTATTTTTAAAATTGTCTATGTATCTATCAAACATGTCTATGTATCTATCTGTCTCTCAACTACGGCGCCGGCTACATGCCAGACACCGCTCCAGGCGCCGGGTGAAAGCGGGGACCACGCAGACAAGCCCCTGCTGCCGTGGAGCTCATTTTTCTGGGGCAGACAGAGGACAAAAAACTAAACAGGTACCTAAATACTCTGATTCCTCAGCGCAATAAATGCTACCAGGACGACACAGCGGAGGAGGGGAAAGGAGACAGGAATCTGTTCTTCTTCTGTAGTGACTCAAAGGCTTATTAAGGGCCTGTAGGACACGTCCCAGGCTCCGTGCCAGCCACACTGGCCACCGGGAGCCCAGGGCCCATGGACTCTTTTAAGCAGCTCCACAGTGCTATCTGAGGCCCTCCTGGGACTGTCCCCCGTGTCCTCACCACTCGGTCCTTCCCTCCCTTCAGGCTCTGCCCAGGTCCCCTCCCGCACAGGCCTCCCCACCTCCTCGTCCAAACGAGCCCCCGCCCCCAGCTTGCGACTCTGCCCCAGTCCTGCGTGTGGGTCCTCAGGTTGCTTATTCCCACATGTCGTCTATTTCTGTCCCTCCTTTCCCAGAACGCAGGCTCCGAGAGAGCAAGGTCCTTCTCCCCTTTGTTGATTGCGCCGTTCCCTGGCCCAGCACCATGCCTGGCTGGACATAGAAGGTGCTCAACAAATACGAAGCCCGAATGGACTGAGGTCAGAAACAGGAGCAGCAGAGCTGGCCGAGCCTTCTAGTGGGGACCAGGGCTCAGCAGATGGCAGGCGGAGGGGCGGTGACATCCCAGCCCAGCTGCACTTAGAGGGGCGGTGACATCCCAGCCCAGCTGCACTTAGAGGACCTTGCTCAGGCTGGGGCCCCGGCCCCGCCCCCTCCGGGCCGCACGGCGGGTCCACTTCCCAGGTCGGTTCTACGCTGGCCTCACCCATCTCTTTGAGGGTGTGTGTTTGCCCGGGGAGTAAACCACCAGAACGTTCTCTGCCTCTCTGTCTCTCTGTGTGCAGGAAGGGCAGGAGATACCGAATGCGGGGTGCTGGGGAGCCCGGGCAGCAGGCTCCGCTGCGGGCTCGGCGTGGCCTGAGGAGACCCCGGAGCGCCACGTGACCCTCCTCACGGCTCTCCTGGGAATCTGTTTACTTAGAGAGGACGGAGATTCTTTCTCATACAACTCTCAAGCCCTCTGACCCACTCTGGCTTGGAAAGCAGGATGTGGCCCGAGGGAGGAAACCATTCCAGAGGGAGCAAATACATTTTCCTTTTATCTCGCAGCCTCCAGCCTCCCCCAGCCCCCTCTAATCCCTTCTCACAATACAAATCAAAAGTCAAGGGCATCCCAGTTCAACAATCCGTTCTAACGAACATGTACAGAGTCCGGGGGTGGGGGGGCTGGTGTGGGCGGGGACCCCCCAGCATGCAGCAGGCGCTCAATAGTTGTTGAATGAATGGATGAGTAGGGGTCTGGTGGTCGTCCCGCTCTGGGAGCCTGGGATTCCATCGGGAGTGACACATGCTCCCTGCCCCACAGAGCTTACGCCCCCTCCCGGTTGCCCCGAGCAACAAGAAGACACTTCTGTGAAAGTGCTCTGGACAGGAGCCGGTGCCAAGGACAGCTGGCCGGACCTGCCCTTTCGTCGAAGCTGCTGGCGGCCCTGGCTCGGTGCTGTCTGGCAGGGGGAAGGCACCTCTGAGAAAGCGGGAAGGGAGCCGACACATTTGGCCCTGCTTCCTAGTGAGAACCCAAAGCCTGCTACCGGAACGCCCGCTCTCCAGGTCCCTGACGCCAAGGGGAAGGATGTCCCCGGACTCTCGGAAACCAGGGGCCTCGAGGAACCACCGCAGCCCCAGCCCCAGGGCCAGAGTGTGCGCACCAGCTTCGAGGACGCAAAGACACGCTCCCCGTTCGAGCGCGGGACTGCCGGGCATGCAACGGCTTCCGGGCAGCCCCACGGAGCCACACGGAGCAGTGATCAAGGGACAGCCGTGGGGCGTCAACTGCATGGCTCTTCCTGAAGGTGGTTTGGCCCTATGTTTAGGAAGTGCAAGTACATGAACTGCAGCATTGTGTGAAGGGAGGAACAACCTAAACGTCCACCAACGGGGGCTGGCTGGATACAAACAAACAGTGGAATTCTACGAGGCCGTTTCAGAGAATGAGGCAGATCTTTATACGCTTACTTGAAAAGACGCCCATTAAATAGGGCCATGTAAAACAGAACCAAGCTGCAGAGTGTGTGTGGTTTGACACCATTAGCAATAAAAGTATCTATCAATAGATATCCGTGTGCATGGGTTTGTGTGTGTATATAGATAAGGTGGGGACTGGCATTCCTCCCCGACGAGGGAACTAGCACACAGTGACCTCGCAGAGTTTGTAAGTGGAGGAGTTGGGACTCGAACCCAGGTGGAGTGCATCCCCCGCACGCTCCTGCCCACATTAGGATGTGGGGGCCTCTGCGAGGAAAAGACCCGGAGGCCCACACGCCGAACTGTGGGCGGCTGTGATCGCTGGGGACTGAGACCGAAGGGGCGGGACTCTGCACTTCACTCCGTACATTTCACACACTCAGGCCATGCTTTTGGAATTTAGAATGAAATGTCTTCAAAAGGAAAGAAAGCCACCACTGGGCTCTGTCTCCGCGTGTCCTTCCAGGTGCCCGGGACCAGCGGGCACTCACTTCTTGGCTGCTCAAGAAGACCTCGGGCTGGCTTGGTTCTATCTGCACGGAGATGTCACATGTCTGGGCCTTCTTCCTGGGCTTCTGCTCCTGCTCCGTGTTCGGCTGGAGCCTGTGCTTCTCTTGCGAATCCCTAGGGCAGAGGAGAGGAGTCCTGGGCAGCAGGATGGCACAAGGTTCCCGCAAATTACTTTGGTGCCCATTGGCAGACCAGGAAATGGGGCTCTATTTTTACAGGTAACTGAATTCTTTGAGACTTCACGTCTCCTGCCCCCAGGTTTCTAGAGAATGTGGTGTCAGGAGACTTATGGGAGAGTGGCCAGGGCAGTGGGCACCTGCCCTTGCTTCCTACACTGTGGACACCGGCTGTGGCATTGACAGGGACTTCCCCTGCATGTCTGCAATTTCTAACGCTTTGTCTGTGTCAACCCTTCTATTTCTCACAATAATTCCATGAGTTAAGGAATCTCCCATTTTGCAGACGAGCAAAGAGACACACAGCAATTTACCCGTGGTCACCGAGCTTGGACACAGAGGCGTCTGGCTTTGAAACCAGGCAGCCTAGATCTGGGGCCTGTTCTTTTAGCCACTGTGTGAATCTGCCTTGGCCCCCAGGGACATGAAGCTACAGGATATACACAAAACACCAATTTTACTCAAACTTTTTTTTGGGGGAAATATTACTTATGTTCAAACATGGACAAGCTATGAATAAAATTGCAAACTCCCAGGTATTTTTTAGATTAATCCATGGGACAATGACAATATTTTATATTTATTTTATGCTGACACCTGCGGTTTATTCGTTTGTTCGGTAAATACTAAGTTCCTGCATGTGCCGGCACTGTGTGTGTGCCAGCAACAGTGGCCAAGATCTGTACAGACCCTGTCCCCATGGGGGAGGTGGGCAATAAACAGGCAGTCATAGCCTTGCTGTGTGACAAGAGGTAGGTGGGACTGGGGGAGCCCAGGCAGAGCAGCAGAGCCCTTGGCTATGATCACTGAGGGTGAGGGAGGGAGGGCTTCCTGGAGGAAGTGGCATTTAAGCTGAGACCTGTTTTCTGAAATCTTGGTCAAGAATGTCTGCGAGGTACAGAACTCAGCAAAGACCTGTTTTAATTGATGAGGCTGTGAACCAACAGAACACGTATCATTCATTCATTCGGCTCCTCAAGCAGCACCTACGGAGCCCCCTCTCTGTGCCAGGCTCCTCCCCACACCATGCGGACGCCCCCGCATACCTGAGTGCCTCCTTGAGCATCTTCAGCTCCCGGTCCTTCTTCTCCACCAGGCCGCTCAGCTGGGCCATCTTCTCCCTGAGCGCACTCAGCTCCCGTCTCTGCTGCTGGACCAGGTCCATGTTCCGCTCCAGTTCCACCTTCTGCTTCTCATTGAGCTCCCCTGGGGGCGACATGAAAGCTGGTATGTTGGTGGGGGTCCCTGCTATGGCCACAGCAGACCTGCCAGGCCTCCAAGGACCACAAGGCAGGGCTGCCCTCCAGGTCTTTGCTTCCAGAGCCAAGTCTCCTGTAGTAGGAGAAAACTCTCCCCAAAAGAGAAAGTTGCATTTCAATGCAGAGGGCCAAAGTCCCCCAGAGAAGGTGGCCTGTGGCCCCTTGGCACTGGGGATCAGAGCCACATACAAGATACCGCATTTGCTGACCCCAACCAAGTTACAGGCGTCAGCACAGGACGGCAGCTTGGCCGTGATTTTTCATACCAAGGTTTTGCACTCTTAAGCCTCATTCCTTTCCTTTCTCAAGTGGGTCAGGACGTCAAGAGACACAGGGACGGTTCAAACCTCTCAAATCCGACATTCGGCCGTGGGCTTCGGTGAGGTCTTTCCTCAACTTCATGATGACCTCCTGCTGGGACAGGATTTCCTTCTGAGCAGTCAGCAAGTCGTCTCTGCAATTCACAAAGACAGGCAAAGTCAGTTCGGCTCAACCTTCGTGGTGTCTCCGGGTGCCTGGAAGGGGCCAAGGACAAATGCAGTCAGGTGCAGTCATGGTCCATGTGATGCCAAGCCCAGCAAAGGGATGAGGGCAGTCTTTACACACACTCGAAACAAAAATTCATTTTGGTGTACCTTCATTTAAAAAAATAGAATGAGATGGAATTCCTGGTGGAGAGAGGTGGGGCCGCACGGGAATGAACGAATGGTGTGTGTGTGTGGGGGGTTGGCGGAGGAGCCCAGACAACCAAGGGGGTACAGGGACGGTGAAAGGACAGACCCTCACCAGCCTGGGGTGCAGGAGGACACCTTCGGCAAGCCTCAGGGCAGTCGGGGGGGAGGGCGGCTGCGGCCAGTGGAGGGGTGAAGGGCGCGGGGGCGGGCGCCTTGACGGGGAGTGGGCTTTTGAGAACGTGTGGGAAGCCCCAGCTGGGGGAGACACCCCGTGTGCGTGCGTGTTTGGGGAGGAGGCCTTGCCCTTGGGAAGCGGGATAAGAGGCTCAGTCTCTGGGCGGGTATCAATGTCACTCATTGGAGTTCACAGGCTTTTGAAATCCCGGCTCTTCTTATATGGACTTTTGAGGGTGGAATGTGTGTTTCTTATGAAGTAAAGCAAAACACTGGTAGGTTACATGTCAAAAAAAAAAAAGGCTGGAGATAGTTGGAATGAAAATAACTACATATAGAATAAATTCTGTGTGTGTGTGGGTGTGTGCACCTCCTTGGCTGTCCCTTGGCTGTAACCACAACTTTTCCAACTCGGGGCTGGAACTTTAGAACTCCAGCGTCTACACAAGCTGATACACTGGATCAGAGCAGAGCAATGTGGCCACGGCCACGTGGTGCCGATTCCCCAAGTCAGGCCACTGTTATCTCCAGAGAGGGTGCTGCCAGGAGGAGGAGTCAGTCAGGAGTGTTTCAGAATGAGGAGGCTGGGTATCTCTGTCCCTCCTGGCGTGAAAACCCTGTGACATTAGAGTTTGATAACTAGAATGTGGAGCCGGGATCAGGCTGGTGGTCCGTCGTCTTTGAGTAAGTGCCTCGGCCCTTCTCATGCGGGCCTCCCGGTTCACATGCTACAGCGCTGTTGTTTTCTGGGCCTTGCCCAAGATTTGTTTCCCTGGAAACTGCCCATTCCATGAGGATCAAGTCATAAACTCATCGACCCTCGGGTGGGGAGAGTTGAGGTCACTTAGTTGAGGTCATTTAGTCTAACCTCCTAACTTGTAACCTTTCCAGGCCCCTACCCCACCGTGGTCTCCACTGCTTGGAACCCCCGCCGCCTGCTTCTAGGACCTAGAAATGGACTTGCCTTTGGCAGGCACTCGGGGAAACTGCTACTGCTGGTATTAGCTAGCACTTAGCACGCGCCAGGCACGTACATCCTTACCTCACAAACAAGGAAGCTAAGGCTCAGTGAGGTGAGGGGGGGTGGCTCACCCAGGCCACACAACTGCAAAATGTTGAGCTGGGATCTGCTATGGTTTGCCTGTTTGTCCCCTCCAAACTCATGTTGACACTGAGTCCCCAGTGTGGCAGTACTGAGAGGTGGGGCCTTTAAAAGGCGATTGGGTCATGGGGACCCCGTCCTCATGAATGGATTAGTCCATTCGTGGATTCATGGGTTCATGGATTCATGGGTTCATGAGTTATTGGATTAGTGAATCAGCGGGTCATCGTGGGAATGGGACTGGTGGCTTCATGAGAAAAGGAAGAGCGAGACCCGAGTTGGCACCCTCAACCCCCTCACCACGGGACGCCCCGTGCCACCCCGGGACTCTGCAGAGAGCAAGAGGGCCCTCTCCAGATGCAGCCCCTCGACCTTGGGCTTCTCAGTGTCTGTAACTGTAAAAAATTAATAAGGATTTTTTTTTTTTTTATAAATCACCCAGTTTCAGATATTCTGTTATAAGCAACAGAAAACAGACTAAGACAGGAGGTGAGCATCTCGCCACGGCACCGTCCTGATCCGCTGCAGAAGCCGAGGCACTTAAGCAGCACCGAGAAAGCCACAGGCTCAACCCTCCCGCAGGCTCCGGCACGAGGCCAGAGGCAGGGGCTTTGCTTATCGGCCCTTGCCCAGGCGGCCGAGGCTCTCGCAGCCGCGGGCACTCACATCAGGTGTTCGCACGCGGCGTCCTTGGCATTGTTCTCTGATGGAGACTCCTGCGGCGCCTCCTCCTTCTGAGCTGTATCAGAGACACACGGGCATGGTTAGAGTCCCGCAGCGGCTGCTGTCCGTCCTCCTTGCTCACAGACAACTCGGGAGCCCTCCGCCCGCCGGTGAGACCCACCGCGCGTTCTGTGGCACAGGCCGGCGCTCTCTCCGGGCGTGAGGCCACGCGGCCTTCCCGGCTGCTCTCCAAGGCAGGGGTCGCTAAGTCCACTCACAGGCAACAGCCATCAGGGGACGGAACCTGCCCCGGCCACTCAGCTGAGCCGCTGAGAGGTGCAGCCTCAGCCCCTGGGTCACCCCGCCTGCTCTTCCTCCTCCTTTCCACCCAGACAAGAGTCTCGGAGGAGTAATCTGTGCGCAGCACCTTCCTGTCCTCACCCCCCTGCCTCTGGCTTCCATTCTCACCACTCCCTCACTCGTTTATTCAGTCAACAAACGTTCATGGAATGCCTGTTTTATGGCAGGCACTGATCTAAGTGTGGGGGTGACACAGACGTAGTCGCCCTTCAGACCCCAGCTCAAACATCTTCCCTCTGACCCAGACTCGGGGCTAGCAAACGGAGCCTGCTCCTTGTCCTTGCCACGGTGCCCTGTTCGTCCTGGATCAAGGCAGGGCGAGAATTTGGTTAGCCTCAGGGACAATAACTGGCGTGTCCATCACCGAATCCCAGTGCCTAAATGAGACTGGCTCAACTGAGGGTGCCGAATGAATGAATGAATGAATGCATGCATGCAGGCTGCGTGGGGCGGGCCCTGACAGCTAGCTGACTAGCCGACACAGAACCACGTGTCTTGACCAGGAGTGAGTTTGCCTCTGGGGAACATTTGGCAATGCCTGGAGACATTGTGGTTGTCACACTGGGGGCGGGGGTTGGGGTGCTACTGGCATCTAGTGGGTAGAGGCCAGGGATGCTGCTAAACACCCCACAGTGCACAGGGTACCCCACAACAAAGCCCCATCCTACTCCAAATGTCCACAGTGCTGAGGCTAAAAAAACCTTGGCCTGAGGCCTCTACTTCTAGAATTTTCTCCAAGAGCTTAGTATTTTTGCAATAATATAAGTTACCTTGGCTACTTAGAGTGAATAAGTGCTCACGACTCTGAGTTCTTTTTTTGGCCTCTTTCGGGCCTATTTTTTTTAAGAGACAAATCCCGGTGGGTAACGACAGTGCATTAGCCAAGCTGCCAAAAGGCTGCTGGCAGAGAGAAGCCTCCAGAAGGTCCTTCGATGGCCCTATCAGCCCTGGTGGCCTGGGTGTCTCCCCGGCTCACTAGGCCGGCACAAAGGCCGTGCCGATTCATTGTCCTCACTTCCGTTCAACCTGGGCCCTGGAGGGCTTCTCACCTTGTGTGACAAGAACAAAAGGGGGTCCCCGGGGACTGGGTGCGATTTCAAGTGGGCGAGGCCTTTTCTTACCCGCCAGCCTACGGGGACCCACAGGAGACGCAGAGCCTGCCCTGACACCAGGATTTCCTCGGCGGCAGCCCTTTGGCCCTACCTGGGTCGTTGTCCTTCAAGGTTGCGATCTCTCCTTCGATTCTTTTATGGAGCTGGGTCACTCTTTGGAGCCTTTCCTCTAGGCTCACGATCGTCTGGGAGTGCTGCTTGACTTGCTCCCTGTATTCCGTGATCTCGTCCTCAAATTCGTGCTTCTGCGACTCTCGCTCCTCCTGCAGCGCCTTCACCGTGTGCTGGTGCAGACGCATCCGCTCCTCCATCACGATCTGGGGAGCAAAAGGGATGGCACGGTTGTTGATCTTGGGGGCAGGCACGTGGCGGCAACAAGCAAGAAACAACCGCTCTGCAAAAAACATGGGGGTTTTGGCCGCTGGGCCCCCGCCCCAGGGCCCTTTTGCAACGTGCCGACTCCCCTTGCCTTATGCTTCCTTCAGCTACTCTTTCCGGGGCCTGGAACTCCTCCTCGTCTTTCAGGGCTCAGTTCCAACGTCACCGTTTCCAGGTAAGGCCTCCTGAAACCGCCTCTCTGGAGCCAGCGTGAAGAACGCTTTCCTGTTCAATGTTATTCATTTTTCCCATCCACTCTTTACAACCACCGTGTCCTCCCTTGGTTTTCTTCACCAGCTAGAACGTAGAACAACCTGCGACAGCAGAACTCGTTCATTGACCTGCTACGCCCCCAGCCCATCTAACAGATTCTTGGGAGTTTTGAATGATCTGTGGAATGAATGATAATTTCTATTAAAAAAAATGGGAATGCCGGGCCCGGGCGGCTCACGCTGGTTAATCTAGCATCTGGGAGGCCGAGGCGGGGCAGATTTTGGGAGCTCAAAGGAGTTTTGAAAACCAGCCCGAGCAAGAAGGAGACCCATCTCTACTAAAATAGAATTAATTGGCTACTAAAAATATATAGAAAATTAGCTGGGCATGGTGGCTCATGCCTACAGTCCTGGTGACTCGGGAGGCTGGAGGCAGAGGAATTCGCTTGACCCAGGAGTTTTGAGGTTGCTGTGAGCTAGGCTTGCCATCACAGCATCAGCCCAGGCCCAAACAACGAGTGGAGGATTCTGTCTTCAAAAAAAAAAAAAGTGAATGAATCTGTATTTCCTCAAAACCAAAATGCCAGTGACCTCCAAATGGCGAGTCCCTTCCCACCCTCTCCCTCCTGATGTTCTTCCCAGAGTCTCCACCCCTCATTCCCTCTGCTCCGCCACCCTCACCTCTCCGTCCCTTAGTGGTGCCAGCTCCTGCTGCTAGTCTCGCGTCTGCTCGGAGGGCGGGGAACTCCTTGCCCACCCGCACCCGTGAGGCCGTCTTCCCGGTCAGGCCGGGTCTTGCTTCCTCTCCCCAGTTCACTGTGCCGCCACCCGACTCCCGCCTTGCCTCATCTTCTCCAAAAGAGGATCCCACTGACGAGGTCCCCCTGCTACCCAAACCTCCATATCCCCAGCCCTGTGCCGCCCCTACACCGTCCCCTCCCCAGGGGCCCTGGCTGGGAGCTTGCAGTCCTTTGGCATCTCCTCTCCTTGGTGCTCCTGTCCTGCAGGCCACTTAGCAAGTCCTGCCACCCTGACTCTGTCTGGGGCGAGTCTTTCCTTCCCATTCCTCGGCCCAGCCCCCACCGCGGGTCCTTGTGATTCTGGACTCAGCAGCGGCCACCACGTGCCACACTCAGAGCTGGTCTCCGCAACACCACACCCTCTCCCGCATGTGCTTGGTGCACTGCTGGCAGATGAGCCTTCATCACCTCCTTGCCCCCAGGCCCGTCGCACGAATGCAACTTCGAGCCCTGACTGTGGGGAGCCTTGAATGCCGAGCAGGAGCTTTAAAACACTGTTCTTAGAATCTGTGGAATGGTCACAGGTCACTAGATGCTGGGGCTCCCCAGTCCTTCTCCCCGATCCTGTGAGGCCCCTGCATCACGTCTTAGAAGGCCCCGGAGAGAGGGCACGCTAGCTTCTGTGTACCTTCCCACCTTTCGCTCTAAACCAGCGCTTCTCAACGGGGGGCAGTTTTGTCCTCCGTGGGACAGTTTTGGTCACAACGGCGGCAGGGAGAGGGCTGCTGGTGACGAGGGGGGAGAGAACAGGGGTGATGCTGAACACCCCAACACGCGGGACAGCCCCTAATGGGGCGCGTCGCACGCCCAGAACGCCAGCAGTGCTGGGGCCGGGAACGTCCCACTCCCGCGGCGCCGGAGCGCTGCAATGGGGAAGGGGGCGGGGAGGTCCTCCCCCCAGCGGCACCGGCTCACCATCTTGGTCTTGGCGGTCTCCAGCTCGGCCAGCGTCTCGTGCAGCTGCATGGCCAGGCTCTCCGCACGCAGGCTGTCGGCCGTCTGCGTCTTCCGCGTCTCCTCCACCACGGCCAGCGCGTCGCTGAGTTTGTTATTCAGGACGTCTTCTTTTTGCCCTTTTAGCTCTATTTCCTAACAGACGACAGCAGACATCAAAATGATAGCAGACATTCCGGGGCGGATGTTCCCCCCGGGCCTCTCCGCCCTCCCGCCTTCGAGAAGCAAACTCCACGCTGCCGCGGTTCTGTTGGTCCTTTTTAAGCACAAAGTCCGTGCCTCCTCTGGAAGGTTCCAATTATGATATTTTTTTTTTTTGAGACAGAGTCTCACTTTGTTGCCCAGGCTAGAGTGAGTGCCGTGGCATTAGCCTGGCTCACAGCACCCTCAATCTCCGGGGCTCAGCGATCCTCCTGCCTCAGCCTCCTGAGTAGCTGCGGAGCTACAGGCATGCGCCACCATGCCCGGCTAATTTTTTGTATTTATATTTTAGTTGGTCAATTAATTTATTTCTATTTTTGGTAGAGGACCGGGGTCTCGCTCCAGGCTGGTTTCGAAGCTCCTGAACCTTGGCATCCGCTGCCGCCTCGGCCCTCCCCAAAGTGCTAGGATACAGGCGTGAGCCACCCACGCCGCGCTCAATTATGAATTATGAAAGACCTTCTTTAATCTTCAGCTGAGATCCGTCTCCTTGTGATTTCTGGTCTCTGAGCTGTGTCTGTCACCTGGAACTCACTGAGTGAGTTTTATTTCTCTTTTATGAGACAGCCCGTTAAATATTTGCGGAGGCGGCTGTCATGTCTCTCTAAACTCTTCTCCCGGCACTCGTGCTGAGTTCCTTCTCTCCTTGCCTTCAGGACACTCCGCTTTGCTCTGGGGCCTCAATAACGATGACCTGTCTCCGCCTGCCAGGCCCTGGCCAGATGGGACTCCAGCCGCCATGTCCTCATACACCTTGGAAGGTTCCCGCCTCTTGAACCCATTCTTCTGATTTTTTTTTTTTTTTTTTCCTGAGACAGAGTCTCACTCTGTTGCCTGGGCTAGAGTGCCGTGGTGTCAGCCTAGGCTCACAGCAACCTCAAACTCCTTGGGCTCAAGCCGATCCTTCATGCCTCAGCCTCCGAGTAGTCTGCGCACAAGCCGATGTGCCACCAATGCCCTGGCTAATGTTCTATATAATATTTAGTTGGCGCAACTTAATTTCTTTCTATTTATAGTAGAGATGGACCTGGTCTCACTCTTGGGCTCCCAGGCTGGTTTCCGAACTCGCCTGGACCTCTGAGCAATCCCGGGCCATGCTCAGCCTCCCAGAGAGAAAGGATACAGGCATGACCACCTGTGACCCACGTTTCTCCTTATTTCTATTCACACTGTGACTGCTGGAGTTAAAACCTTGCCTGAGCCCCATTCGTTTCATTGATTTCATGATACATAATTTTATTTTATTTTTTTGCATGAGTCTCATTCCTGATCCATTTTGTGTCCCAATTCATCTATTTTTAAAGTTTTAATTTCTTCTTCTGCCTAAACACCTTTAAATACCTGGCAGGTTGCTGGAGTCACGCCCTACACCTACCGCCAAGCTGGATCAGAATCTCTGGGGCCTGAGAAACACGCATTTAAGATACGTTTCCCAGAGATTCTAGTGTGTGCCAACGTTTGGGAACCTTGCTTTAAAGAAAATGATCCAAGATTAACATGAATAGAGAGACTATTTTAGTGCCGTGTTGTGTGTTTGTCACCTGCTTTGCCTGTGAGACATGGTCATTGTGTGTGTGTCCCTTGTACTACTGGGACCCAAGAGGGGTGAAGCATGTCCTGCTGCGTGTGACAGGGTGGTGTGCAGCAACTGCCTGTATTCCTGCCGGATCTGTCACTCCTGGTAGTAGCAGTAAATGCATCTTGATTAAGGAGGTGATGATAATCGTGATGACAAGTTCTGGTGGGGAACTGACATCAAAGTGATCAGAAGTCCAGGCATCCAGACTCCGACATCCCTGTCACTCAAGGGAGCTGGGCCACACAGAGCTGCACAGTGGAGGGTCCGGGAGTGGGACGGTCCCGGGTTTGGAGCCTGCCCCTCCCCGCTGAGCCGTGCGCTCGTGACACCGCTACATGCAGCCCGCACACGGTGCTTTTCCATGTGCACTACGTGTTATCAGCAGTTATTCTCACGACGGCTCAGAGACTGACCTACTGGTATCATCTGTATTTCATAAGTGGGGAAACCAAGGCGCAGAGATGGCAAGTAACTTGCCTAAAGTCCCACAGCCAGAAAGGGGGAGGTGGAATTTGAATCCAGAGCCTGGCTCCAGAGCACTGCCCTTCCCCGGCTGGGCTCCTCTCTCTCCCTCCCTGCGGCTCATACCTCCTTCTGCTTGGTCAGGCGATTCTCCAGGTCTTGCACCTTCTTCTTTTCCTTCTCTATGGCCTCGTTGGCCTTGTGTTTCTCATAGGCGACGTTGCTCTCTGAGATCTGGAAGTCAACGACAGCGGTTTGAGGGCCTGTGCCCTCGAAGGGCAACGGCGCTGCAACGGGCCGCCAGGGCCAGGCACGGGGGGGCCACTGAGTCAGGGTTTGGGCGCGAGAGCTCAGGCCCACGTCTTGGTGAGTGACCTGTCACTCGGGATTTCGGGGCTGGTGCTCAGGAAGTGACACGCTGGCGAGTGTCCGGGTCGCGTCCTTTGGCGCCGAGCCACCGGACGAACGGGGCTGAGTACAAACGGGGCTGAGTCGGCAGCGCTGCGGGCCCGCGTGGGAAGCACCTGGCTTCTGGGGAGGGGGCAGGAGAGACCGTGCGGGGAGACGCCTCCTGTCCTGGCAGGCCCGATGCCTCTCTTCCTGCCTACAAAGGTCTGGGAGTCCCGCCCGGAACAGTTTGGAGCTGAGGACACGTGCCCGATAGCCCTGGTGGTGAGGAGGGAAGCGGAGGCCCGGACTGCCCTGCTCAGGCCGCTGGAAGCAAACAGCCAGAGCGAGCCCCCGCACCAGCACGCAGCCCCCAAGGGAGGTGTTTTAAATACCTGCGCGCGCGTACGGGGACTGCAGGGACATGGACTGAAATGTAAATGGCGGTTATTTTGGGGGAATTGAGATTAAGGCAATTTATATTTTCTTCTTTTCACTGGTCTGTATCTTCTAAATTTTCTTTAGTGAACGGGCATTATTGGCAGAAGGAAAAACAACTGAGAATTGTTCCAGGGCCGGCTACGCTGGGAGACGGGAAGCTTCTAATTTGAGGGGCAGGATGAGACTCCGGGGATGTACGTGGCCCTGGGGAAACGGTGTTCCCGATGTCCCCCAAGTCTTCACATCACGTAGGGACGTGCCCCTCCCCCCAGCCCCGGCACAGTGTCCCCCTCCCCTCTGGTCCCTGACTCCCCGCTCCTTGCGTGCACACTTGGCGTCTTCCCACTGCCCAGTCTGCCACGTCTTTGCCCAGGACTGTCCAGCCCCGCCCTGCAGTCCACGTCCTGCCTGTCGCAGGAGGCCACCAACGCCCCCCTGCATGCCCTGCGGCCAGGGCCCTCTCCCTCCTCTCCCCACGGCGCTCGGCGCATTGCAGATGGAGACAGTCATGGTGACGCCATGCACCGAGTGCGCTAGCGCGCCGCTCTGCACAGCCCCGATGGCACAAGGCCGCCATCCTCGTTCACAGCGAGGAAAGGGAGGCTGCCACCGAGGCAGGACGAGGGCAAGGGACCTTCCCAGGCCACACCACCAGGAAGCGGCGGTGCAAGCGCAGACACCGGTGCCCCTGCCCGAGCCAGTGGCCTGCGGCCTGCGGGCCCTGCCTTGCCCATCCGCCTGGTTCCCGCGCAGCCCCTGGAGGCAGGAGCCGTGTTTATGCGCTCACATCTGGGCTGGCGCAGAGCCCGGCAGTCCCTGGCTTCCAGACCCCTCCCGTGGCACATCTGTTTAAGGGACGCTCTGGGGGCCGCGGCGCCACAGTTCGGGTCCCACCCTTATCGAGGCTTGCTCCGTGTCTGTGCCCTCGCACCCCAGCTGGACTCTGACCGCATTTCCCTCACGGGCGTGGCATGGTCCCTCGGCCAAGGTCTTTGCTTAGGGCGGTCCGGCCCCCACCCTGCTGCCCCACGGAACCCCACCCCGCCCGGACTCTGACCTCACTGGGGCAGCCTCTTCCCCGGGCATGAATGCACTGACTCCTCACCCAGACCTCTAGGGTGGTTCTGCCACTATACCCACGTTAATGCTGAGGGCACAGAGAGGGCAAGGGGCTTGCCCAGGGTCACACAGCGTGCTGGGGCAGAGCTGGGATCTGAGCCCAGAACGGGCACTTTTGGCCCACATGCTCTGCTGCTCCTTCCCACCTCTCCCGCCCCTGTGTCTCCTGCGCCCTCCGGTGTCTCCCACCTCCCAACAGCCTCAGTTTCATTCCTCATGCCCACCCACCCCCCTGGCTAGTTCAGACCCGAGTTTGTGCCACTTCACCCAGTGGCCCTCTTTGTCCCCAGGCTCTTTTCCCCTCCCAGGACTCACTCAAATGTCACCTCCTCCGAGAGGCCCTCCCTGCATGCAGACCACTCTCTAGCCCATCCCCCCACTGTTCTCCTGCCCTTAGCACTTGTGGCCTGGAGCTGTCCCTGCCTTGGCTTCCACCTCGTCTGTCTCCCCTGCGCCAGGATGAAGCTCTGGGTGGCCTCGCCCTGGTCCTACTGGCTCACTGTGGTGTCCCCGGCGCCCAGAACAGCGCCTGGCACACAGGGGATGCTCAGCGCATATTTGTGGGTGGACGAACAAAACTGAACGGAACAATTCCCGGAGCCGTCAGCTCTGTTTCTGGGTTTTCCACGCGGGCTGGCCGTGTGTGTTGGTGCCAGCCCAGGCTCCTTCTTCCAGGGCCTGGCCCGGGCGTCCAGGCGGACCCGAGGGCCCGCCTCGCGTGCTGCTCTGAGCAGGCGTGTCTGGTGGGCCTGTCCCCAGGCTGACGGGTGGGGGGAGGGTGGGCGTGGGAGCCTCCAGCTCTGCCTGGGCCTGGCCCTCGGAGCCCGACCTCACCTTCCCCACATCGTCCTTCCCGGGTGCACTTCTCACCCGCCCCGGAGGCACGGAGCATCTCCAGCACTCATGTGACGTGGCTACGAGTGAGGTCGTCGTGTGCCCGCCTCTCGCTGTGCTGCTTGTGTCTCTTACCCCTTGGCCGGTCCAGGGGCACCCGAGACACCAGGGTGCTGGGGCCGGGGGCTGCTGTCTCCCAACGAGGGGGAGGAGGCTGGCCGAGGGCTCCCCCCGGACTACGACCCGGGGGTTCTCTCCTGGAGGGCGTCCCTCCTCCCCAGGGAGCTGAGCCCAAGAGCAGGAAGAGCGTCCCGAGGGCCCGCTGCGTTTGGGGTGCAGTTCTACGTACTTTGTCTCTGGTCGCATTTAATCCTCTAGACTGTTATCATTCCCATTTTACAGGTGAGGAAACGGAGGGACAGGAGGTCAGGTCTGCCCTGGGTCACGCAGCCCGTAAGTGGCAGATGCCGGCCACCCCAGCCCCTGCATGCTCCCACCACACTCTCTCAGGGCATGTCTGGTTTGGAGCTCCTTCCAGAAGGTTCTGGCTACCACGGCCCACTCTCCCTCTGCTGCTCGTACCTCCTTCTGTTGGGTTAAGTGGTTCTCCAGATCTTGGACTTTTCTCTTCTCATACTCTAAGGCTTCCTTCGCTTTTCTTCTCTCGTGGGCCATGCTGGTCTCCCAAACCTGCAAGTCAACGACCAGGGGTCTGGGTTGCTGCACTCTTGCGGGGAAGCTGCTAATAACAACAACGACGGCGGCTAGAACGCGGGGGTGGCATGACACGAGGGCGCCCGGCCAGCCCTTCACTCTCACAGCAACCCTGTCAGAGAAGTGCTGCGAGTGGCCCCACTTTACAGAGGAGGAAACTGAGGAACTGGATGTCGGGAGGGCCCACAGCCGTGCAGTCTGCCAGCGGCGAGGCTGGATCTGAACCTGCGTAGAGAAAAGCACAGAGGCCCTCGGCAGGGGGGAGCAGAGGGGCGCGGGCTTCTTATCCCTGGACCAGGCAGCCTCTCCGATAAAAAGAAGAATCTCATTAATAATGAAATTTTCCATTATTGAAATAAATCTCTTAAAGAGAATCCGGTTCCAAGAGGAAGGCAGTATACTGAATTACTGAGCCGCAATATGCCAATTTGCAGAAGAGGGAGGGACAGAGCCTCACTGGGAACGCTCGGGTAGAATGCAGGGAAGAGAGCGTGGTTCGTATTTGGTGCCCCAGTCAAGGGATTTTGTCTAGGAAGTTACTTGCTGATAAGCCGTTCGGCTAAACGGCCAATGCAGATCACCAAAGGAAATAAATTGCCGGCCATTTCTAGTCACTGCAAGAAGGGGGACCTCAGCTTTCGAACAGCTTGTCTTCTAAACACCAGCTTGACTGCTTGGAACTTGGAACACGGTTACCATTATAACCGGTGGGTAGGGCCCCAGATTAGCCCACAAAAAGTATTTCATCCATAATGCAGATGACAGCTTGTATATTTTGCAGTGAGTAGTAGTTTTATAAACTCTTGGCCAGGTGAGGTGGCTCACGCCTGTAATCCTAGCACTCTGGGAGGCTGAGGCGGGTGGATCGCTCAAGGTCAGGAGTTCGAGACCAGCCTGAGCAAGAGGGAGACCCCGTCTCTACTAAAAAAATAGAAAGAAATTAACTGGCCAACTGAAAATATATAGAAAAAATTAGCGGAGCATGGTGGCACATGCCTGTAATCCTAGCTACTTGGGAGGCTAAGGCAGGAGGATTGCTTGAGCCCAGGAGTTTGAGGTTGCTGTGAGCTAGGCTGACAGCACGGCACTCTAGCCCGGGCAACAGACTGAGACTCTGTTTCAAAAAAAAAAAAAAAAAATTAGCCGGGCATGGTGGCACGTGCCTGTAGACCCAGCTACTTGGGAGGCTGTGGCAGAAGGATCGTTTGAGCCCAGGATTTGGAGATTGCTGTGAGCTAGGCTGAAGCCATGGCACTCACTCTAGCCCGAGCAATAGACTGAGACTCTGTCTCAAAAAAAAAAAAAAAAAAAAATGAGCCGGGCATGGTGGCGCATGCCTATAGTCCCAGCTACTCGGGAAGCTGAGGCAGGAGGATCGCTTGAGCCCAGGAGTTGGAGGCTGCTGTGAGCTAGGCTGACGCCACGGCACTCACTGTAGCCCGGGCAACAGAGTGAGACTCTGTCTCAAAAAAACAAAACGAACGAACAAACAAAAACAAACGCTAACACTGCCGTCCCAACACCAGCCCTAAACAAAGCAGAAGAGCAGCGGCGTCGTGGGAATTTCACATTTATTTTGAGTGTTTGAGGGTGGGACGCTTCCCCATAAACTGTGAGAGGGACTCGGAGGCACTTCCTAGCGACTTAGAGCCGGCTCTGCTGCGTCTGGCCGCACGTCCACGCGCGCCAGGCCTTCTTCTCGGCGCTCCTCGCGGCCGGGCGGGCGGCGCCGCTGGGGAGGCGGGCGGCTGGCACAGGGCGCCCGCGTTCAGAGCCGGCCGCGGGTCAGCCTGTAACGTGGTCTCCAAACCCAAGTTATGACCTACTGCTCGTGCTGTCCTTAAACATTCGTCTGAGAATGTGCAGGAAGAGCTAATGAAAAGAAAAAATCAAATAACCACTTGAGGTTGCACGAGGCCTGCGGCCGGGACTGCGCCCTCGCGCGCCCCCGATGGAAACCGAGGCAGGCTCTGCCAGCAGCAAGCGGGCTGATGTTCTCATAGCCCTGGGTGACCCGCCGCAGCTCCTCTCTGCAATGAAGCTTAAATCTTTCTCCTGAAGTCCCCCGTGACCTGGAAATCTCTAAATTCAAAGGCCTCCCCCGGCCCCACGCGGTTGACCTCTTGGTGGCATCTGGCTTGAGGGACTCCTTGCAGACCCTCCTCCTCCTCACCGCCTTGGAGGAATGACTCAGGGGGTAAGCCTCAGCGACGCTGTTTACAGATCAAATCGCACAGGCTCTGCCCGGCTGTCTGGCTATTTCTGCCGCAGTGGTGGGTGGGCAAGGGCTTCACCCTGAGCAGTGAGGATGGACAGAAAACAGGGCCCTAACAGAAGTACAGGCAGAAGTGGCAAGCAGGGACAGTGATGACGGCTGCCATTAATTCAGCCAGACACTTCATTCTACGTTGCATCTCCCCCTCCAGCCTTCCAGCAAGAGAGGTATTGATAGATCTGCCACAGCCAAGAAGGAGCCCAGCCAGGATTGACACTTGGATCTCATCCGGTTGTGAAGCTTGCCTCCCCTGTGCGGTCTCAGGACGGAGGGATCAGTGAAAGCACGTGTGAGGAAGCGCAGGGATCCCCTGGGGGCCACAAGCTAAACACGAATCAACAATGTAATAGAGCTTCCCCAGAATCTAGTCGGGGCATATTAATGGAAGTACAACATCATCAACAAGGGAGGGGAGAGTCCTACCTTAGGCTGCCACAATTGGAGAAGAGTATTTGGTTCTGGTTACCCCACTTTAGGAGAAAGCGGGTGATGGGTTGCACACTTAAATACCTATGAGGGCCAGGCAGAGACCAAAAACGAAGTACGCCGTGTTTAAGGCAACAGGGAATGGTGAGGACTGTGGCAAACTGCTGCCAACTGGTCAGGTTCCAGTCCAGTTTTGCCAAGTAAAAACAAGGGCCAGATTTTCTGACTTTTCAAGAGAGGATGGAAATCTGGGCTTTTAAATAAATTTTATGAAACACTCTGGAGCCAAACATCACATATCTGCAGGCCCTTTCAGCCAGTGAGCTGCCAATCTGGGACTTCTGGAGGGCAGAGCAGGCCAGAGGAAGGGACCTGGGCCGGGCTCCGGTCCTGTGAGGCATGGGAGGGGAAACAAGGGCGCCTGGGCCGGGAGGAGCAGGTGCCTCCACTTTCCAACCTGCAAGTTATCAGGTGGAAGAAGCCAGGGGTGGGTGGGGGGTGATGCCCTTCTGGGGCAAAAGAGTTTGCCCCAACTCAACCCGAAGGAAGAACTCTCTGCCAGCCAAGGCACCAGGCTGGATGGATCGGCCTGGGCTGGGGACAATTCCTCGGTGCTGGAGCTGGAGCTGCAGGCTGGAGGATTTTAGGATGCTGGTGGAGGACTCGAGCAGCCCTGGGGTCCATGACTCTGTCATTCCCCTGTTTCTATGCTTTGGAACACAATATCCACACAGAAGACACCCACGTCCCCAGCCCCGACCTGTCTCCCAAGCCCTGTCTATGCCCGTGTTTTATGCTGTTCACAGTTTTTACCAACCGGTTCTGTCAAGTCCCCGGCCCTTCCTGCAGTAGCTGAGCCCAGCAAGGACAGATTCCCAGATCCCACCAGGAACGCTCGGCTCCACTCTACCCTCGCCACCTTGGTTCCGCACTGACTTCCACAAGGCCCTCGAGCCGGGTCGGGTCCGAGCCGACTCGGTCCCCCGAGCTGCTCTGTCCCCCGAGCTGCGTACCTCCTTCTGGCGGGCCAAGCGGTTCTCCAGCTCCTGGGATCTCGACTGCTCTTCCTGTAATGCTCTCTTCACTCTGTTTTTTTCTTGCGTGATGCTTTCCTCCAAGATCTGCAAGGCAACGCCCGCTGTTTAGCAGACGTGGGTGCCGTGGCGGGAGCGTGGGCTCTGCCAGGCAGCGTGTGGCTAGTTCTCCATTCCTCACCGCACCCCCGCTGGGGAGACTGCAGGCAGCACAGCCCTGAGCTCAGAGCACAGCCCAGATTAGAGCCCTGGAGCCATCTTTCCCAGCCGTAGGGCCCTGATTTGGGCTCAAGCCACTCCGTCCCCCCGAGCTGTGTACCTCCTTCTGGCGGGCTAAGCGACTCTGCAACTCTTGGGCTCGCGTCTGCTCTTCCTGTATCGCCTCCTTTGCTCTGTTTCTCTCTAGAGTGACGCTTTCCTCCAAGGCCTGCAAGTCAATGACTGCTGCTTAATACACATAGGTTGCCATGGCAGGAATGCGGACTCTGCCAGGCAGTGTGTGGCTCACCTCTTCACTCCTCACCACACCCCTGGAGAGAATGTGGGCAGCACAGCCCGGGAGCTCAGAGCCTGGGCTCTGAGTCGGCAGGCCCAGATTACAGCCCTGGGTCAATCCTTCCTAGCTAGAGAGGCCTCGGTTTCCCTATCTGTACAATGGGCACAGTAATAATGCTTCCTCCGCTGGGTTGATGTGAGGAGTACGTGGGACGATGAGCGTGGCATGCTTGGCACAGTACCGGAACGAATGACAACCACGCGTCCCCTACTTTGCAGAGGAGGAAACGGGCTTAGGTTAAGAAATTTGTCCAATTTACTAAAATCATGAAGCAGGGATTAGAACCCCAGCCCATTTGCTTCTAAAGCTTATGTTCTAAACCAGGGGTTAGCCATCTATGGAATACAGACCAAATCCGACCCACTGTCTGTTTTTTATAAATAAAGTTTTATTGGAACGCTCTGTACTCACTGTGCATTGGCTCTGGCTGCTTTTGCACAACAGCAGGACTGGGCGGTCACAACAGAGATAGCAGGGCCCACAAAACTGAAAACATTTACTGTTGGGCTTTTTATGGGAAAAGTTTGCCAACCTCTGATCTAAAGCATTGCTGTGTGCACAAATCAAGTGACTGCTGTTAATAAATTGTAATAAGAAAAGAAGCCTAGATTGATCAAGGAACTCAGAACTTTTTTTTTTTTTTTACCATTGAAACAAAGTCATCAAACAAGTCAGGATCATGAGAGGAAGCCTAATTAATGAGCTTAGACATGTGTATATTTAGAAAGGGTGGGGGAGGGGTGCCAGATGGTACAAGGTGGATTCACTTAAAGTCCTGGCGCCCGACACTGAGTCCTAGACGTCACCTTCAGAGGAGTCCCCAGGGCCAAGCTGATGAATACAGTGTCTGAGGAAGGATGACTCTCGAGTGTCATAGTCTGTCTGGCAGGGACCTGACGTTGCTGCCTCCCTCTGCAAGGGCGTGGGGTGCACTGGGGTTTGTGTTTATTATTATTAGTAGTATTATCATCATTTTGAGACAGAATCTTGCTCTGTAGCCCCGACTGGAGTACAGTGGCGTCATCATAGCTCACTGCAACCTCAAACTCCTGGGCTTGAGCGATCCTCCTGCCTCAGCCTCCCCCGAGTACCTGGGACCACAGGTGTGCACCACCTCGCCCAGCTAATTTTTCCTGTTTTTAGTAGAGACGGGGTCTGGCTCTTGCTCAGGCTGCTCTTGAACTCATTAACCTCAAGCGATCCTCCCTCCTTGGCCTCCCAGAGTGTCAGGCATGAGACACCTCTCCTGGCCGGTTTGTGTGTTTAAAAGGGGGCTTGAAACCAGCTCTTGAAACTCACTCTGCCAGAACCAACGTCAACAGGCATCTGGGAAGCCCAGGCTGGAGTCCACCTCGGTGTTCGGCATGGCGGGGCTGGAATACCAGACCCCGGCAATGGAAAAGGTCGGTCCAAGATCGAATAAAGAAAATAAGTCACGTGGGAAGCTGATGCTAAAGGGAGAAGTTAATCAGAAGGGACTGAGGACACAGGTGGAGTGTTTTGTGAAGACAGTGAAGATTTCTAGGCTCTTCCTGGTGAAGGTGCTGGCCTCTTCTATTTCTAATTGCTTTTCAGAATGTCCCCAGCTTGATTTATGGCTACCATTAATATTGTACAGAGGACACATGATTTCGGTCAGGTGGCTCTCCCTTTCTAATCTTTCATTCCACGAAAGGCAGAGGGAGAGGCAGAGAAGAGGGCGGAGAGGAGCGAGATGTCTTGAGGTGACTGATACGACATTGAGAAAGGAAATGAAAGCGGCAGGGCTTTGGGCCGGTCTGGAGAGCAGGCGAGTGTGACAGAGACGCGTGGTCCACGTTGGGAGTCACCGAGTGGAGCTGGGAAAAGACAGAGAAGGAGGCGGGTCCGGTCCTCCTCGGGGGAAGAAAGGAGGTGCCAGGGAAGAAGAGTGGGGCCCAGTGGATCTGGGGGCTGCTGTCTGGAAGTGGGTGGGAGGAGGGGCGCCACGCGAATCAACACTCCACATCCAGCCGAGACAATGGTTCTCAGCCACAGCTGCACGTCGTGTCACCTGGGAGCATTTGCAAATCCCAGAGCACGGGCCACACCTTCACCCCGGTTAGATCAGAACCTGGGGGTGGGGGGATCGGTGCAGGGCGTCAGTGTTTTTTAATCTCCTAAATGACAAGAGTGCAGCCAAAGTCATGAGCCCCTGACCTAGGATGGTGGCCTTGAGGACAGTGAAATTCACGACGGGTCCCTGAATATCAGGAAAGGCTAACTCTGGGATGGTGATGAGAACCGTCTTATGAAATGCAGCTTCCTGGCCCTGTCCAGAGATTCTGATTCAAGGGGTCTGGGGTGGGGGCCAAGAATCTGTTTGTAACAAATCATCCAGGACAGGACTAATTAGGGAGTCGTTTCCACATTTCTTTATCAGTTGTTTGCTTTTCAGGGGACGAGGCCTTGCACAAAACTTTCTTAAAAACACAGACAAACTACTTATCAAGCAGCTTTGGGAAAACCTCCTCTAAGCCTTTGCTGCCAGGGACCGGGGGCTGCAGACTGGCAGTGCCAGCGCCACCTGGCCGCCTGCTGGGACTCTTGGCTCTGGCCCAGACCTGCTGAGTCAGAACCTGCATTTAACCAGATCCCGATGAGTCACGGGTATCTTCGAATTGGCCTGGTTTCTAGAAAAGTAAGTGGCAAGTTTGGCCATTTGTTTTCCCTGAGCTGTAGGAAGAGAAAGCAAAAGACTGAAATTTGCAATCTGAAGTCGATCTTGCACACGCAAGGCCTGCCGCAATGACTCGGGTTTGTAAAATCCGCCTCTATAAATAGATGAATAAGGTACCACTCCTCTAAAATTTCACTAATCCTACCTTTTCAAGTTGGTTTACTGTGAGTTTTAGAATTCGAGCTTCATGTTAAATCCTCCCAAATTATTCACCCTGTTGAATTAACTTAGTTCCGTAGCACTCGGCAAGGAGTTGCTGAGATGTCTCCACCTAAGCACATGCCCTCAATCTCCCACAGAAAAGGCCATGGCGTCGGTTTCCCGTGGCAACGTACACGACGGGGACCACCTCACCTCCTTCTCTTCCATCAGCCGCTTGACTCTGGCTTTCAGTTTCTCCTCTTGCTCTTGCCTCTCCAAGTTCAGCTTCTGCTTCTCCGCCAGGTGCTCCAGCAGCTTTTCTTGCATCAAAGACTGCTGAGTTTCCTGAGAACGGCTGAACTTGACCTGAAATGAGAAAAAGGAAACTGACACTCATGGGGGACAGGCCTAGCTAAGGAGTCATTTCCACATATCTTGACCAACTGTTTGCTTTTCAGGGGACAGAGGTATGCACAAAACTTTCTTAAAAACATAGACAAACTACATTTAGTCTTAGTTACGGGTGGGGTAGCAGTAGAATATAGTGGTTAAGAATTCAGACTCTGGATCTAGCTGGAATCCCAGCCCTAGCTGATTCTAGATGCTTCCTCATTTAGAAAATGAACGTAATAATAGTATCCACCTCTTAGAGTTGTAAGGATTAAGAGAGATGACGATGGAAAGCTTTTAGCACAGTGGTTAGCACATCGTAGGTGCTCAGTAAATGGTGGCCCAAATTATTAGTTATTATTTGCTGGGCGTGAGAGTAAAAGCAGTGAGCTAGGAGCCAGGAGACCTGAGCGTTTGTCTTGATTCTTTTGTCAATTAACTGTGTGACCCTTTCGATGTCTGTATCTGTAAAACATGGAGAATGGACTAGACCAGGGGTTGACAAATTACAGTCTACAGGCCAAATATGGCTTACTGACTTTTTTGTAAATAAAGCTTTATTGGAACAGAGTCATGCTCATCATGGTTTAAGTATTGTCTAAGGCTGCTTTTGTTCTATCATAGCAAAGTTGAACAGGTGTGAATTCGGTCTGCAGAGCCTAACATATTTACTATCTGGCACTTATGGAAAAAGTTTGCTAATCCCTAGAGACTCAGGTCTCTGTGGTTGTTTGGCATGGTGGTCCTGATTCTTCACCCTCCTGCTGTCCAGGTCTACGGCTATGTCATTTGCAGCCGCCTGCCCTTACCCCGCCCCCGACACTGGACACAGCCCTTGACTTGCTTTGGCCAATGGGATGTCGGCAGACATAACACAAGCAGAGGATTGAAAAGCGCTATGTGATTGGGCCTGCCTTCTCTTGTACTGCGCGGTCTCCACGAGAACACACCCTGGCTCACGGGGAGCAGAGAGTCAATTGCTCCAGCGGAGGCCAGCCTAGATCAGCCAAAGGCCAGCCAACACCCAGACAAGGGGGCAAGCCCACCCAAGTAAGCAGAACCTCCTAGCTGCTGGCCCCAGACATGTGAGCAGCGCATAGTAATTGCTGAATGCCACTGAGGTCTTGTGCTTGTTTATTATACAGCATTATTGTGGCAATAGCTATCAGAAGATACAATCCCTAAAGATCATTTGCCTCTAGAATGTTTCTTTTCTTTTGGTGATTCTGCTGCCTGTACTGTGGATAGCTGTACTTCTTCCAATGCATTGAATAAGCACAGTTTTCAAGAGCTGATGTTATTAAGCCTTTTGGGCTTTTGACAGAGGGCAACAAGCGCTGTGGTTAGCCCAGGAGGCCAGACAGGGGCGGCACCCTGTCTTTGTCCTTATCCTCCTGGGAGATCTTAGCCACGCTGTCTGCATCTCTTTGTGTGCAAATGGAGAAATCATTTTACCTATTGGAGGATGTGGACTGAGATCATGACACAGAAAAAAATGCCTTTCAAACGCACCATGTTATATAAATGACAACAGGAGCCGAAATGAACTTTTAGGAAAAAAAAAAAAAGTAAGTTAAAAGAATTACCTGAAGTTCCTGGATCTGGCTCATAAATTTTTTATACTGTTCCAGAAGACATGTCAGATACAAAGAGAACCCTTTAAAAAGAGAAGCAGGAAGAAGGTAAGTATCAGTTCAATCCAACTTCTTTGCTTTCCAAATAATGTCTTAACAAAGCTTGTAGCCAGGTGGACAAAGGCTTCCGTCCCATCAAGGAGTCATGAGCTGCCATCCAACTTGTGTTTTTAAAATAGTTGATAAGCCTTGCTTGGGCTCACATCCACCTTCTTTTTTGGAGGTGGAAAATAAAAACCCATCCACAGAATACCTATTTACTAGGCGTCCACTGCGTGCAAAGCATGGTGCTGAGTGTGGGCATGGTCCAAAGCCACGCCCTCCCGGGGCTCGCAATGCAGCCTGAGAGACAAGGTCTAAATGCCTGCTAGGGAAAGGGCAGTGACCCCAGGCAGCATGCGAACAGCTGCTGAAGGAGGTAAGGAGTGTGAGGCTCTCAGAGGAGGGAGAGACCATTCATCAGGAGTGATCAAGGAAGGCCGCCTGGTGGAGGACCGCTGGGTGTGGGCATTGCTGGGGAGGCAGAATTCAGAGCGCTGGGACAGGGGGCTGCAGAGTAGGGGACGTGCTAGGCTGAACGATGACCCCCAATGGTGTCGAGTTCCTGACTGCTGGAAGCTGTACCTGTGACCTTATAGGGCAAAAGGGACTTTGCAAATGTGAATTAAGTTCTGGATTGTCCTGGACGAGCTGGGTGGACCCAGTATAAGATTTGAAGATGCCACATTGCTGGCTCTGAACACGGAGGAAGGGGCCACGAGCCAGGAGTGCAAAGAATGAAGCTCTAGAAACTGAAAAAGGCAAGGAAACGGATTCTCCTCTAGAAGGAACCAGCCCTGCTGACACCCTGTCAGCCCTCTAGAACTGCAAAAGAATCAACGTGTTGCTTTGAGGCGCTGAGTCTGTGGTGACTTGTTACAGCCGCCACAGGACAGCTACACGGAGGGCAGCGGCAGGTGGGGATCAGGGAAACACGGAGCTCGTCAGCAGGGGCTGCGCCTGGCTGGGCCGGAGCGATGACGGGAGGGGAGGCGCCGACGGTGCAGGGGTGTAGAAGGGAGGTCACGCAGGGGGAGGCCTGGAGCAGCGGCCCAGAGGGTGGACACTTGACTTAAGCGCCACGGAAAAGGACTGAGTGGGTCGTGTGTGCCCGGCCTTCCACTAAGCCATTACTGCCCGACCACCGCCCTGTTGTACAGACGCGGCTCGGGCCGTGTGGCTGCCCGACGCCGCGCAGCTGGCCAGCCGCTGAGCCGGGGCTTGGCTCCGGCCGGTGCGACTCCAGGGTCTGAGTCGCTGCTACTCCGGCTGCCGACTGAGCAGAGCATGGCCCGAGGAAGGGTGCTTTCCAGAACAGCCGTGCTGCGTGAGGGAGGCAGGGGCTGGCGGGGTTGCTTCGCCGCAGCTCTCCTGACATGTCCGGCCAGACAGCTCCTCGCTGGGGGGCTGTCCCGCGCTTTGCGGGGTGTTCAGCAGCGTCCCTGGTCCCTCCGCACTAGATGCCAGGGGCACCCCACTCACTCTGCCCCAGCTGTGACAGCCAAGAATGTCTGCGGACGTGGCTGGACGTGCCCTAGTGTAAAGGCCCCTCCGCTGAGCGGGCGGCCGCGAGCCCGAGGGTGTCCGGGCAGGCAGCGCTGACGCTCCGCTGAGGGGGGAGCGGGGACGAGAAGAAAGAATGAGAGAGAAAGCCTTTTTGGGGTAGAATGGTGGCCCTGCTGCCGGACAGAGGAGGGAGGCAGGTGGAGTGGGGTGCGAGGGGGGCCCCGGCTCCGTGTCAGACTGCAGAATGGAGATGTCGGCAGGACTCCGGGAGAGGTGGTCTCAGGGAGCTGGACATGCAGGGTGGCAGGGCCGGTGCAGCCCATCCCGGGTCCTTATGTGAATGGGGACAGAGCCCCTCCCTCCGGGTGGAAGTGGCCCCTGATGGGACCCCACCTGCTGCCTGGCTGGACTCCCCACACCGCGTTCCCCACAGCCCTGCCTGGACACGGGTCTGCGAGGCTGCCGGAGCAGCCACGGGAAGTTTCTTCGTGAAGGAGGAGACGGGGGTGGGAGGACCAGGGGCTGACTCACAGTAGGGACAGGAATTGGTGTAGGGGCTGATGACAAACCGGCAAGCTCTGGGGATAGGGGGGTGCACCAGGCCAGAGCGGAGGGGCGAGGGGGTTCGGAGGAGGAGGAGGATGAGCGTGCGGGGTGGGCAGAGACAGGCCCAGGGGATGCGCTGGGCGGGCCGGGGCAGTGAGTCAGTCGCCTGGCAGAGCCAAAGCAGGAAGTGGGCAGTGGAGACAGAGGTGCAGCACACTTCTGCACGCTCAGGGGCGGGCACGGGAGCGAGAGCAACAGAGGAGGAGTGAAGGCAGCCTCGGGTTCCAGGGAAGAATTCTAGACACTAGAGCCATCTCGAATGCACGTTAGCAAAGGGAGGGAGAGAAAGGCTGTGGATGCCACAGCGAGGAGCTGCCCATTCAGGATCCTGTGCAGAAGGTCCCCTGGGAAGCGGAGATGCAGGGGAGGGAAGGGCTGCATCTGGAAGGAGGACCTGGAGGGGGAGATGGGGGAAGGAGGAAGAGACAGGGGTGGAAGAGAAAGGAAAGGAGTTGAACTCACTGGGGTCTGGGGTCTTGCTTTCCAACAATGCAACTTTTTGAGAATTTCCAGCATGGAAGAGTGAGAATAGAGCATTATAATAACAGCTACCAAGTATTAAGCACCCGCTCTGTGCCGGGTGCCATGGCCGAGAGTTTGGCTCGCATTCTCTAATCTCCACTATAAACACCCCTCCGGGAAGTGCGTTCATGTTCGTGGGTGAAAGGACAGAAGCCCAGCGGGGTTAAGCTGCAGAGCTGCTAAGTGGTAGAATCAGAATCAGACCCAGGCCTGCCATTCTCTTTCCAGAGTGGCTGGAGCTGCGAGTGCAGGGGTGGACGGGCCGACGTGACGGGGGCCCTGGGGGAGGGGCATTGCAAGGACACCCAGGTGGCGGGAGGCGAGATGGCCGGGCTGACGCTGGCCTGGCCTATAGGACCTGGCAAGTAGGGGAGGTTGCGGCCGCTCAGCCGCAATGAGTCTGGGATTTTGCTCAGCTGCAAGCTGTGACCCAGGAACCGAAGGGGAAGGGTCGAATCGTGGTTGGGTTCCAAAGAGGACCAAAGGGAGAACGGAGCTGAGGATGCTGAAGGGGCAGAGTGAGTGCCCGATCGTGTTTCTAGAGTAGATGATGAACCGTGATCACAAGGGCCTTTTGCTCTTTGGGAGAAGGAGCAAGTCTTCATCATACTTGTGGTTGCACAAGCCGTACGTGCTCATTACAAGAAATCCAGACATTACAGAAATTCACAACGTGGGAAGCGTTCACCACTGCACCTTCAGTGTCCTGCACCGTGGCCGGCGCACAGTAGGCCCTCAATAAATGGTTGTTGAACGACTGAATGAACGACTGTTGACCTTTACTGAATGAAAGTAAAGGTCCTATGCAATCCCACCCTGTTGGGATAATAATCTTATCAGTTTGATGTCTCTTTCTCCATATTTTTCTTTTGGTCAGATATTGGCATTTTTAAAAAAACAGAAGACAGCCAGGTGTGGTGGCTCACACCTATAGTCCCAGAACTTTGGGAGGCTGAGGTAGGAGGATCGCTTGAGCCCAGGAGTTTAAGGCTGCAGTGAGCCGTTGTCACAACACTGCACTCTGGCCTGGGTGACAGAGTGAGACCTTGTCTCAAAAAGAATATGTTATAATCCTACTAAATTTTCTGTCTCAAAAAAACCCCCCAAACCCGAGCACACTAAGCATATTGTGTTGAACTTTGCTTTCTTTTCATTGAAAGATACTATGTATCCGGGATGTCTGAGAAAGAGCGGTTTTTGCCGGTATGCAGGAAAGCCTTTTTTTTTTTTTTGTAACAAAGTCTTGCAGAAATAGACACAAACAACTGAGCTTGCAGAGAAAAATGTAAAAGGTCCTTTCTTTCCTCTATCAAGTGAAGCCTGAGAAAGCGGCGGGGGCGGCGTGAAGCTGAACTTCAAGGTCCCCCTCAGGTGTCCCCCATCTTCCCAGCCGGACCTCGCAGCAGATATTCCACCAGACGCAGCACGCACGCACGCGAGCCCCGCCAGGCCTCGCCCTCCGGGCCGCTCCTGACGTCTCCCCACCACCTGGACTCCCCTGCGGGCTTCGTTTCAGGACTTACAGACCCAGCTTGCTGCGTGCTCTCTCTCTTAGGAGGATGTTCTCAAAGGCAGGTAGCGTGGTGGCCGGGGGTGGTGTGGGGGGGGCTCTGAAGTCAGAGGGGCTTGGACTGAGTCCCAGCCCGGCCACTTGGCAGCCGGGACACCAGGCCCATTGTCCTGCCTCTAACAAGGAGGCGTAGGAAGGGCTCTTCTGGCTTCCGCCCAGCCGAGCGCTCACGGCTAAGTAAGCCCAGCGCTGCCGAGTGGGGATGGGGCAGGCATTCCAGATGGAGTCACCTGGGCGTGAGCGAATCGAGCCGCGCTGCCCACGCACAGAACTATCTGGTTGCCACCCACGTTTAGGCCAAATTAAATCAAGTATCTGAGGCTGACGACGATAGCAGCTCCCATTTACGAAGGGCTCGCTGTGATCCGGGCACTGCCATTTGTGTGTGTGTCACGTCATGCGGGTCTCGCAATGGCCCCGTGAGACTTTATGCCCGTCCTACAAACAAGTAAATGGAGGCACGAAGACATCAAGTAACTTGCACACACAACTAGTAAGTGCAGAGTCGAAATCCGAGCGTGGGCAGTTGGTCCCTGAAGTCCAAACCCAGGCCCATCACGCTACACTGCACATGGGGCTTTACCGGAGAAGGCTCAGGGTGTGAGCAGATGCGGTTTACTTCGGGGAATGAAAACGCTTGGCTTTGTCTGTGCCTGTGTTAATCACAGAGCCTGTCCTCTGGGAATCGGGCACGTCCCTGGTACCTTGCTGGATCTTCAGAGGAAGGATGGGGTCCCAGGAAAAGCACAGCGGGAGTCTGAGTCCTGACACCGCCACGTTCCAGTGGTGTGACCCTGTGCATGGTTTTAACATTATTGAGCCTTAGCTTCCCCACCTTCCAATTAAAGACAGAAACTGTATTTCCCACATTGGGCTGGAGGGAGGCTGAGAGCACACTGTGCAGGTACACACGCAACGCAGTGACAGTACCCAGGAGCCGCCAAACAACCCGTGGTTCCCGCCCTTCTCTTAGGAACCACCAACACGGGAGGGCCTGTGTTGGCCAGCAGCTTGCTATGGCACCTGGGTAATTTTTCTATTTTTCAGTAGAGACGGGGTCTCGCTCTTGCTCAGGCTGGTCTCAAACTCCTGGCCTCTAATGATCCTCCCGCCTTGGCCTCCCAGAGTGCCGGGACTACAGGCATGAGCCACAGTGCCAGCTATAAAACGTTTTGAGCCACAGTTTCCTCATTTCTAAAATGAAGGTGATGGGCCCTGCCTCGTAGAGTTATTGTGAGCATGAACTGAGACCACGTATGTAAAGCGCTGAGAGGGCATCTGGAATATATGTGCTCAATAATGAATGGAGACTACCGTCATCATCATCATCATCATCATCATCATCATCATTGTCTGCAACACCGCCTGCCTCCTGCTCCTCGTGTAGGAAGCTCTGGGCAGGGGTCGGTGCAGTGGAAGAGAACACAGGGACCCCCTAGTCCACTCCTTTCTGCTAGTGTTCGGGCCCTCGCCATAACATTGCTCGCACTGGGAGAGAAAACACCCTTTACCGCCAACTTCCTCCCCAGCTGAGTGGGAGGAGGGCAGGCCCTACTCACTCGCCTTTCCGTCACTACTCTCCATTCTCTTTTCTTGACTTCTCAGAACCGACCCGTTGCATCACAGAACAGTCGCACACCGCTGTTCGCCAACACGTGGTCTCCAGCACATTACTCCAGAGACGTTAGCCAGGGGGAAGGGCAGCACAGGAAACCGGTATCGTGGAAACACTGCGTTCATTCCTTACCCCGTTCCCGTGGATCCACAGTGCAGATTAACATAGGAGGGATTCTGCAGATTCTGCAGAAAAATTTTTTTTTGATTTTTGTTTTGAGACAGGCCGTACTCTATCACCCAGGCTGGAGTGCAGTAGTGTCATTGTAGCTCACTGCAGCCTTGAACTCTTGGACTCAAGGAGTCCTCCTGCCTCAGCTTCTCAAGTAGCTGGGACTACGGGTGTGTGCCACCACACCCGGCTAATTAAAAAAATTTTTTTTTGTAGAGGTAGGGTCTCGCTATGTTGCCCAGGCTGATCTTGAACTCCTGGCCTGAAGTGATCTCCCCGCCTCGGCCTCCTATAGTGCTGGGATGACAGGTGTCAAGCACCGTGCCCAGCCCAGAGACCTGTTTGATGGTCCTCAAATCTCATGACTCTGTGAAGTCAGGAGCAAAAAACGGTGGGTCTGAGAAATGCTGCCTAAAACCAGTCTTCCTCAGCCTATTTGGAATTCCGGGCCTGACTGCTCCACTTTACGACCCACATTTCTTTACGTTAACATATGGTTAGATTTACAGGCAGAGGCTATCATTGCAAAAATGGCCTTGGGAGCCGCAAGGGGACAGTGCACACATAGCGTGGCCCTACCATCCCCCGGGTAGAGATCACGGTCTGTCTTTGTTTTACTTCCGGTCTAGAACTCTGGTGCGTGTTTCACCCATTTCATGTAAGCTCACGACTCGGCCGTGATTACGAGAACAGCAACACTCTGTGACATGATGAGGGGGAGGCCCGTACGTGAAAATTCATCTTGCTTTTTCTTTTTTAAGAACTTGACACCACTGTCTGGATCCTCCGGCGACATCCAGCCGGGGGTGCGGCAGAGCTGAGGGTCCCTCCTCTACTCCTATCTGCTGCTGCAAGAATGCCCCAGCCACGCGGCCTCTCCGAGGGAGACTTGGCAAGGAGCAGCAGCAAGTTTCAAAGTGCTGGAATTCCTTAAGCTGCGGCCCTGGCCCTCTGCCTCCCATGCGACCCTTTCATGCAAGTGTTGAGCTTATATGAAATCGGGTAAAACGTGGGTCAGAGTCCTAGTGGTTCTTCAAGATTGAAGAACTGAAACGACCCTCCTAGGTTGCTTCCTAGGTGATACCACTCGCACCCATGGCTTTAGTCACCCCTCCGTCCTCCCCCGCAGATCCCAATGAGCCCCACTGTGTGGCACCTGCCGTCCGGGTGCTGGGGACACAGTGCTGTCATCTGTCTCCAGACAAGACACCCAGGGAACAGCTGCCTCTTGGCGCCCCATCTTGGCTGTCTCTCCGGCACCTCATGCTCAGCTTCCCCCCAGCCTGGGCCTCGTCCTGTGTTCCCCACTTCGAATGTGAGCGAAGGAACCACACCTGCCCTTTTATGCGTGCCAGAAACCTAGAGGTCGTGTAGTCCCCTCCCTGTTACTTCCCTTCCAACCTTCTCCTTCGCCACCACTGAGGCCTGTGCATTCACCCCTTGAGCACCCCAGAACCTTCTCTCTTCCCTCATCCCCACCCTGCCCGACTGTGGCCACGTCAGCCCTACGGCAGCCTCCCAGCTGGGCCCCCCGGCCTCCACGCTGACCACCTCCCAGGGCATTTACCAGCTGCCACCAAGACCATGGTCTCAAAATGCAAACTGGTTCCATCAGCTCCTTACTTAAAACCTTCCAGTGGCTTCTTGCTGCTCTCAGGGGAGAGCAGAGCTTCTTCCCAGGGCCCTGCCAGCCCCGGCATGCATGGTCCCTGGGATCTTGCTCGCCGGCCTGCCCCACCCCTGCGCCTGAGTTCTCCATGCTCCCTGCTCTCCACCACCTCGCTGCTCCCTCTGCCCAGAGTTCTCCCTGCCCCCTCTTTGGCAAACAACTCCTATGCATCCTGCAGATGCCCCGCCCTCCCTGACCTGGTCGAGCTCTGCGCTTCTTCATTGCGATTACCACCGTTCAAGTTTTACGTTTGTTTGAGTGATTTTGCCATTAATGCCCACCCCAGCCCTCCCCCAGAGACCATAAGCTCTACGAGGGCAGGGATAGTGCCTGTTTTTTGCCCAGCATTTTATTATAAAAAATGTACGGTAACGCTGGGAGAGTTTTACAAGCAACGCCCCTACACCCACAGCCTGGAGACCCTGGTTCCTGACCTCACGACATCCCTGCCCTGCTCAGGGCCTGGCGTCCGGCAGGCATGCAGTGAGTCTCGGTTCAGCGGAAGTCGTTCGTGCCCTGCCACCTCTAGGGAAATGAAGGCACGGAGTGTGGGGGCATGTGCAGGGATGTGCCTCTCAGCACCGTCTATGAGCGTGGCAAACTGGGAACAACTTCGATGCCTGTGTAGGGGACTGGCGACATGAATTCGGGCACACACCACACGGTGGCATTCGATACCTGCCATCGATAACGTGCAGATCTGTGTGTACTGACACGGGGGAGGCCCCCTGATGACGTACATACAACTGCGAACAAAACCAAAGAAAATTGGGTGCAATACGACACTACTTTTTGCAAAATTAAAAAAATCGATAAGCGTTCAGTGATGCCTATTGTACACTAAGGGCTATCCTAAGTGCTTTACACAGATCAATGCATTTCAAGCCTCATAATGACCCTAAGAGGTAGGTACTCCGTATTATCCCATTTTACAGGTGAGGAAACCGAGGCATAGGGAGGGTAGGTCATTTGCTTAGGATCACACAGCTAATTCCATAGGGAAATGCCTTGGAAGTTACAAAATATAACAGCAGTTCTGCTGAGAGAGAGAATTTAGCTTGGTTGGGGATTTCATTTTCCTTTTGCCTCTGTCACGTTCCCTTTTTCTCCAGTGACCGTGTCCCACTTGTGCATTTTTTTTTTTCCCGTGGAAAATCACTTCTCAAGCGGAGAAGCAAAGTCAAGCCTGGAGGAGGGAGCACCTGGCCTCACCCACGACGCCTTCCCCAACAGCTGTCCCGTCGCGGTGGGATTCCACGCGACATTTCAGAACCGTGCAACCGCGGGAGAAAATGCCCCAGTAACCTTTGTCCGAGCTGGGCAGCGGGATGCCGAGGTCGCGGAGGAGCTGCTCGGTGTCCTCCAGCCAGGACAGCGGGAGGCTCAGCATGTCCAGCGACGCCTTCTGCAGCCCCGAGACAGGCGGGCTCACCTGGAGCTTCTGGAGAAGGTCCACCTCCTTCCGCAGGCTGCTGCCGCGGCACGCCAGCTTCATGCAGGCCTGAAAGGGATGAGTCATGAGAAGCCGGACCCTGCGGGCAGAAATAGCACCCGACGTGATCTGCAAGGGACGACGATCTCAACTGGACCATGCACGAAGCGGGCAGTGCCCTGGGCTGGCTTGCCTGGGATGGTCCGGGTTTCTTTGCTTTTTTTTGGCAGCTGTTATTTATTTTTCGCACTCAAATCTGCACTTCTGATGGTCAGAGTGAACCGTCTTTTAGGAATATGCAACCCCAAAGCCAAATTGCCATTGGCAATTAGGGTGAAATGAGAACCAAACTTCTTCCATTCATGAAAACTGCTGCTGAGACCAGCACGCAAGCGGTAGGAGAGCGTGGCTTCCTGGTCTGAGAGCGCTGACCAGCCAGCGTCCACACAGACGCCCCAAGCGGAGCTGCAGGCTTCTAGGGAAAGCACAGGCAGCTGCCCGCACCCATAAGCTGGATCTTAGTGCGGGGCAGGGGGTGGTCGGACCCCCTCTCCCTGCTCCTCCACCGCCAAATGCAAGAGGGGTAGGAACAACCTTTTGCTGCTGGACCAAAAGAGAAAATGCAGATACAGTGCAGGAATATTACTTTGGTTTCTCTGAAAATAACATAAGAGATTTAAAAAAATTGTTTTGTTTTGTTTACTGGGCCTGGGGCCTCCCAAGTCAATACGTGAACATGCTCAGGCCCCAAGTTCACCGGGAGGCATTTTTTTTTTTTTAGGTCCTTTGTTTTCTGTTCTCCAACAAGAGAAAAAGTGGATAGAAAAGCTGACCATTTCTCCACGAAACCTGGACAGTTTCCCAAATAAGAGGCACAAAAATTAGACAAAGGGACCATTTGTGGGAGGTGTAGGAAGAGGTCACCTGGCAGCTGTCTAGGGACATCTTCAGCTTCTTAATGTCCTCGGTGGTCTGCTCCTGCTTGCAGCTGCTGAGCTGGCTCTCCTTCTGCAGCGTCCACTTTTTCTGCTGAAAGTTCATGTTGTCCTCAGTGACCTGGGCAATCTTCTCTAATAACTGGTGAGAAAAGAAAAAGGGGAAAAAAAAAAAGATATAAATACAGGGTGGCTCTGGGAGGAGGGGACTGGAGAGTGGCAACTTAAGTCCGTCTAAGCGGGGGATGAGGGAAGTCCCGGCATGCTTTGGTGATGGATCTAGGGGGGAACGTCAGGCCTGTCACCAGGACACTTCCCAGGACCAGAGATTATTCTCAAGAGCGAAGGCCTGTGAGTTTGCTCCGGGCCCCTGCGTGGCGGCAGTGACTCTGACGCTGGGCTCGGTGCCGTGAGCTCACAGACAGAAGCTCAGGCTCTCCTACGTCTGGCGAGAGCCGCCCACGGCGTGTTTTCTTACCTGTCTTTGACGTGGAGGCTTGGAGAGAGGAATGAGAACTCATTCTCAGTCCACCCTGTCTGCCGTCGGCGGAAAGAACACGCCGGAACCCCCCCGGCTGTGAAGAGACAGCCCCTCCCCTCCCAGCGCCAACGAGGGCCAAACGTGCATGTCTGGGGACAGGAACTGAGCCTGGATGGTTTAATTTGATTTTCGTGGAAACATTTCAAGGGAGTTTAACTGGCTTTTACTTTAAAAGCCAGGAAATCCCATAAAATCAAAACAAATCTTTATGGTGTAGCAACAGTGTGAAAAATATGTGCCACCAACAAAAACAGAAGCATATGCTCCCGGGGTCTGGAATCCGGATCCCCGAAGGAGAAGACAGCGGAGGCTCCACGCGGCGAGGGCGGCAGACTAACCTGCTGGTCGGTGATGGCCTTGTCCTGGACCACCTTCGCCCGCCCGTAGGTGGCCTTGATGACCTGGCTCCTGAAGTGCTCCAGCTGCGGCAGAGGGAGGGCAACAGTGTCAGGGGGCCTGGGAGGTGGCAGGCGGGGGCCGCGGGAGACGCCGCTAGCAGGGTCTCCGCTAGCAGGGTCTGCGGGCAGGCGCGCCTGAGCGGTGGCTCTGTGCCATCGGAACCTCCGCCGCTCACCGGACGTGGCAGAAGTGGACCAAAGGCCGGGGGGAAAGAGAGCAGCAGGCTTTAATTACTTTCCAGGCGGGCCCGCCTCGCCCGGCCATGCCTGCGGCCAGCGCGCACACATGTCTCAGCCCTCGCTAGAGCCACTGGCTGCCAGTTATCCAGTGGGAAGTCTGGGGCCGAGAGCGCTCTTCCGCTCCTGCTAAGTCGGCACCAGACTGCGAGATAAATATTGAGGCTGTCAGCGCGAGGAAATTATGCAGTCGGCGTGGGGCCTGGGGAGAGGAGGACGCTCTCTCTTTGGAAAGCCACTGTGTGCCTCGCCCTAGTGTCCTGAAGACCCCGTCCACCGCGTCACCTCTGTGCGCCTGGAATGACACTGGGGGTGACAGTGGTGGACATTTGAGTTTCAGTGGGTGGGGACAAAGCCCCAGTCACACTGCCTGGTTAAGGCTTGGCGGTAGCACATGGAAGGGCTTTGGGAGCCGGGCTGGTGCTGTAGAGGGATCTTAATCTTTTTTGGTGGTTCACAAACCCCTTTGAGAATCTAATGAGTGACACAGTGGACCTTCCCTCCCAGAAGTAGAGTACAGTCTCACACACACACACACACACACACACACACACATACGCAAAACGTCTGTGGCTCCCCTGGAGCCATGGTTGCCAAGGAGACGGTCCCTTGTGCAGGAGTCCAGGCTGGGCTGCCCTTGGTGGCCGTATTCTGGAGGGTCATGCCCTCCCGCTTGGTTCCCTGTTTGCTCTCGCTTAGCCTTTGGCAGAATCTCTGCACGTTCTGGCCCTGGCGACTGTGCCACGTGTAACAGGGAGGGCCACTGGGCCGTCCTGGGCCAGAGCTTCTGAGAAATGGCGCCTCCAGACCAGCTGGGGCAGAGTGGCTCGCCCCCCGCCCGGAACTTCTCCACCGAGCACGCACTGTAGACACCCTGGGTTTTGCCTTATTAAGAGAAGTGGCACTTCATTATAGACCCCGACTGTGACATCTGCTGGGGCCCGAGGGGAAGAAAGATTGCGGCAAATGTGAAGACAAAAAATGTTGGGGCCGGCCAGGCGCGGTGGCTCACGCCTGTAATCCTAGCTCTCTGGGAGGCCGAGGCGGGCGGATTGCTCGAGGTCAGGAGTTCGAAACCAGCCTGAGCAAGAGCGAGACCCCGTCTCTACTATAAATAGAAAGAAATTAATTGGCCAACTAATATATATATACAAAAAATTAGCCGGGCGTGGTGGCGCATGCCTGTAGTCCCAGCTACTTGGGAGGCTGAGGCAGGAGGATTGCTTGAGCCAGGAGTTTGAGGTTGCTGTGAGCTAGACTGACGCCACGGCACTCACTCTAGCCTGGGCAACAAAGTGAGACTCTGTCTCAAAAAAAAAAAAAAAAAAAAATGTTGGGGAGAAAGTACTAGAAACACCATAGGGGTCACAGGACCCGGTTAACTGGGCAGGCACTGAGCCAAGATTGGCTGCTCCGTCAGGGCACACCATTAGGGTGGGAAGCCTCCCAGCAGGAGAAACCTCTTTAGTGACGTCCACTGGGACCAGAAGCCACAGAAAGCCTCTGCCAGGAGATGAACGGGAGGAGGACAGCCGTGGTGTCATTCGGCTGTCCTCCTCCCTCGGGCTGCCGCTCGGTGCAGAGAATCACTAGGGAACGTGGGCCAGCGAGGGGGGCTCTGGAGCATGCCTACCTGACCTACTGCCCTTTCCAAATTGACTTTAATAAGGCTCTCTCTGTTCCCCATTTCTTGCAGCTGAAGCAATTTCCTTCTGGAATCCTCCTGAAGCTTCTCTTCAACCTGAAATGATGATGAAAGCGTGTGCTTGCTGCTAATGTGGCCATAATGCACTCGGGGAAGTCCCTCTAGGAGGTCTAATGGCCATGGGGGGGTCCCAGAGGGGCAGGGACAGCTGCAGCCCATGTGGCAGGGGTCACAGGCGTGCACAGGGTGGAGGTGGGCTCGAGAGGCACCGTCCCCTGGGGGAGAGGCCAGGTTCTGCACCCCACCCTCCACTCCCAGCTCAGTCCCTAACAAGCCGGATGACCTCGGGGAAGTCATTTCACTGCTCAGGGACTCAACGTCCTCATCTGTCAAATGGGACGGCCATACTATTCCCCTCCTTGAAGCGTTACTGTGGGGATTAAGCACGCTTAGCGTAGTGCCAGCACTCCGTGAGGGCTCTCCAGGTGTGCTAGGCATTGTTGGAACCTGCAGAAGGTGGGTGGGAAGAGGCACCACGCAGCATCATTCCACTACTGTAAGTAACTGGCCCTTCATGGCTACTTGGTACTATTGGGTTTTTAATTGTAACTATTTGTGGGTGCCACTTTTATCACTCTTGCCGCTCTGGGAGGCTTGATACGCAATGGCTATTAAATAATTGCAGCCTACAAAAGACGTTCAACGCGGGGTGGGGGTGGGGGCACTGCCATTCGCTCCTCTTGCCTGGCCACTGGCGACTCTGGGTGAGCTTGGGCGTGTTCGCTGCTACCCTCTGCTGGCCGTTACAGGACCCTGCAGCTGCTCAGTTCCTTTTTAAACAATAAACATGTTTTGAGCACCTGCTGGGCTGGGGCTCAGCCACCAGCAGGAAATGAGGCAAACTCTCCGGAGTGAGAGGATTTTGTGCTGAAACAACTTCAGAGGAAGGGTCACACGGATGTGATAAAAGAGCTTCAGAGCTTTCTTCTGAGCAGGGTGGGGCCAGCACTTCATAAGGCAGTTTAGGAAGCACCTCCAGCTGGCTGGGCCCCCTGGGAAGATCAGCCCGGCTCTCTGGGCCTGGCTCCCTCCCTTTGTTCTCTGCTCCTCATGCCACTGAATGGCCTCCCTGTTCCCCGAGCCTGTTAGTTCTGTTCCCCATGTCACCGCCATCCAGCAGGCCCTGGGCACCCATCCAGAGACTTACTGAGAGCTGCCCTGTGCGTGGCCTCAGGCCAGGCAGCGGGAACCTCTGGCTATGATAACCGGCCTCAACCTCTGGCTGTGATATGTGGCCTCCTTGCCTCCAATTTACTTCCTTCCGGTACACCCTTCACAGTCCCGTGAGAGTTACCGAGCTAAGGGGCAGCACAGTCCTGCAGGACTCTGTGCAGTGATGAAATGCCCTACACCCCCGCTGTCTAAAGGGGAAGCCACTGGCCACATCTGTGTGACCGAGGAACTGAATTTTAAATTTTATTGAATTTCACCTAAATAGTCACGTGCGGCTAGTGGCTACGCCACAGTCACTAGAGACAGACAAACCTGGCTTCCCATCTTGGCTTTGCCACTTACTGACGGTGGCTTCAGGCTGGTTACTTTACTCTGAACCCTGATTCCCCCATCATGTAAAATGGGCATAATAATTTCTAGATCGTAGAATTGTAAAGATGAAAAGAGATTAAATGTTTGGCGTACTGCCTAGTCCATGAAAAACTGCAGTGATCATTTTCAACATTAGTAGTAGTAACAAAGTTAATCACCTATGCCCCCATTCAAAAGACTTCAGAAGCTCCCCTCAGTCTAGGGCCGTATTATATAGCCCAAGCTCTGAAACCAGTGAAAAACACCAAGCCAAAGAATCAAGAAGCCCATATGAACTCAAAACAAGATAAATAAACTCACACCTAGATGAAGCATAATAAAATTGCTGTAAACCAAAGGAAAAGAAAAAAATTTAAAACATCCAGAAATTAAAAAAAGACATTACACACCAGTGCAATGGGCAGGCTTATAGCTCACTTCTAGATAGAAACAACTGGAGCCAAAAGACAATAGAATTACGTACTTAATGCTGTCTATGATGTGATGAAATAAAATAATTGCCAAGTAGAATTCAATACTAAGTTAAAATATACGAAGAATGAGGTTAACTATTGATATTTCAGACACACGCATGCACATGCACCCCCCCTGCCCCCAATAGAATCTCTCACCGCAGAGCCACACTGAAGGAAAACACTAAAGAATGTTCTTTAGGCAGAGGAAAAATGATCCCACCTGGATGATCAGAGATGTAGAAAAAAACACAACAGTGATGTGTAGCACATGGATATCAACTGTATAAAAATACTATCACTTGGGGTTTCAAACAGAGAGAAGTTTAGAAAATGACAATAATGGCATATAAATCTGGAGGGGGGTAAGTGAAGTGAAAGTGTCAATGTCTAAGGTCATCAAGGAGGAAGTCATAATTATCAATAAATACTGGATTTTGCTAAGTTGGAAATGTTCATTGAAATCTTTACTATAACAACTAAAAGAATAGTATTAATGAAAGAGTGAAAAACTCCATAAACACTGGATTTTGGTCAGTCACCAATGCATGTAATTGTCTTTTTTGTTGTTGTTGTTTAACCAGGACCTTTTCTGGCAAATTGTCTTACAATTACTAAAAAAAAGAGTAAAACAGTGAAAAATTTCCAAGTTAATACGGAGCAAAATGGAATGATAAACACTATCAACTGAAAGAAGGTAAGAATGAAGAGAAAAAGAAATATTGCACAGGCGGAACAACTGACAGTGAGTAAGAAGTTAAATTGAAACCCCAACATACCAGTGGTTTACATTATATAGAAATGGACTGAAAGACACAGATTGTCAAACTGGATTTTATAGGAACTATATGATGTTTAACAACAGATATAAACTTAACAAAAAGAAAGATTGACAGAAAAGTATGAAAAAGACACACTATAAAGACTCTAATCAAAAGAAAGCCAGTGTAGCTCATGGTACTTTCTTAATGACAAAGTAGACTTTAAGAGAAAAACCTCTCTAGAGATGAAAAGGAATATCTTGTGATGGTCAAAGATTTGGTTCAATAGGAAGTAATGAAATTGTAACTTTATATGCACCCACCAACATAGCCTCAAAATATATAAAGTAAAAATACTAAAAAAACAGAAATAGACAAAGCCACACCATGATGGGATATTTAGACAATATCTCTCTCTCAATGGCTGGAAAAACATACAGACAAAACAAAAAAATCAGTAAGAGTATTTAAGTTCTGAACACCATTTGCAAACTGGATTAAATGGATATATATATATATAGAGAGAGAACACTGTTCCCAATGACTGCAGAATGCATATTCTTTTCAAGTACTCGTGTGGAACCGAAATTGACCACATGCAGGTCATAAAACAAGCCTCAATTAATATAAAAAAGATTGAAATCACACAGAGGATGATCTCTGACCACAGTGTAAGTAAGCAAGAAATCAATAACAAAAGGGTAACCAGAAAAATCCTCATATATTTAGAAGTTAGGAAATAACTTCATAATAACCCATGGATCAAATAGGAAATCAAAATGGGATTTGGAAAATATTTTGATCTTAATAGTAATGAAAATACTGCATACTAAAACTTGTGGAATGCAGCAAAAGCCTTGCTTAGAGGAAAATTCATAGCCCAGGGAGCAGTGTGATTTCACATTCATGACTGCAACTATTTTAAAGAAAAATATACCCAAGTAAATTCATTTTCATTGAGAAGGCATTTTCCATAGTGAAGCTCATTGAACCAATGGTTCCACAGATTTCCACAGGTTTACATTTTAATTTTTATTCTTCTAAGCTTATTTTTATTTGGATCAATTCTTTTCTGGATAAATTGTACAATTATGACTTGATTCATCTATAAGTTTTTCTGGTCCCTATAAAATATTTAGCAATCACAGCTCTGTCGTTGTGTGCTTTGTGTCCCTCATTTTGGCTAAGTTCATTATTTTTTTCCCAGATTATATTTCGTACATCTAAACTTTTTCAAGAATATTTGATTTTTCTCTCAAATTTTAGTTTGTGTGGTTTTAACTGTTGGTTTTAATTTTGTGTTAATTATTTCTCCAAGTCTACTTATGCCTGGTCAACTTTTGCAGGCTTCCATATTATCAACAAGATGTGATTTGTCAGGTAGCTTAGCTTGTGAAGTTTTAATAGTTTTAGCTTCTGGTGACTAGTCTGATATTCATAGTAACTAAAAATTGGAGAAAATACTGGATCATTTGCTTTTATTTCTCAGATCATCCTGGGGCAATTCCCCTCAGGTAGAATTCCCTTGTCTTTTAGATTTTCTCTGAAAATATTCTTAGTTTTCTCAAGGACAACAGTCTAGACTCATCAAATAAAGTAGATGATTCAAGTTGAGAGAGTATAGATTCTGCCCACACTGCTTAGGACCCTTAAAGGTATTTTCAGTTTAGAAAATTTTAAAATATGTGTGATCCAGAAGTATACTTTGTACAACTCTTCAATTGGTTATAGTGCCAAAACAGGCCACCGCTGGTTTAAAACAACAGAACTTTCTGTGATGATGGGAACGTTCTGTCTCTGAACTATCAGTAGCCACGAGCCACGTGTGGCTATTGAGCACTTGGAATGTGGCTAATGCAAGTGAGGAGCTAAATTTTGTTTTATTTACCTTTTTTTTGGAGACAGAGTCTGTCTCTGTCACCCCGGCTAGAGTGCGGTGGCATCATCATAGCTCACAGCAACCACAAACTCCTGGGCTCAAACAATCCTCCTGCCTCAGCCTCCCGAGTAGCTGGGACTACAGGCGTGTGCTATGACGTCTGGCTAATTTTTCTATTTTTTGTAGAAATGGGATCTTGCTCTTGCTCAGGCTGGTCTCGAATTCCTGAGCTCAAGTGATCCTCTTGCCTCGGCCTCCCACGGTGCTACGATTACAGGTGTGAGCCATCATGCCCAGCCTTTTTTATTTTCTTTTAATGAATTTAAACTTAAGTAGCCATGTGTGGCTATGGCTACTGTGACGGATAGCACACATCTAGAGTATGCGACTAAAGATTTTTTCCTGTGATGAGAAGGGACATTAAAACAATCAAGCAACACTAAACCCACTGGGATCTGGAGGTAGGTGGGTGGGTCTCATTACAAAAAAGCAAGAGGCAGTGTTAGAAGGCAGTGTGCGCAGTCATTACTCACGGGAGCTTTGGAGTCAGACCCACCTGGGTTCAAATCCTGCCACGACTACTTTATCTGAGTGAACCTGGATCCCTTTCTTTCCCTCTGCGAGCCTCAGTTTTCCCCAGGGTGAGAGGGGCTGATACCAGCATGGACCACATGGGGTCCTCTTGAGGGTTAACGCTGATGACAGCGGGCTGGGGGTGTCAGGTAGTGCTTGACCATTGGGCGGAACCATCCTTGCCTGCGTACCTTGCTCTTTTCTCGCAGGGTCTTGGAGATCATGCTTTGCTCAGTACAGCTCTTCCTCAGCTCCTCCCGAAGCCTTTTCATTTCTTTCTCCATGTCTTGCATTTGCTGAAAAATTCCAACAACAGAGGAGTCAACTTCCCTGACGGCAGCGGGAGCCGCCTTCTGCTCTGAAAGGTCTGAGCCCTTAGAACCCCCTGGTCCCGTTCATTAAGGTGGAAACCTCGTGTGGGATTAGCTTGTTTGCTTATTTATTTAACCAACCTTAACAGGTCAAGGTAAAAATAGTTTGTTGTTTTGTTGTTTTTTTTTTTGTAGAGACAGAGTCTCACTCTGTTGCCCAGGCTAGAGTACAGTGGCATCATCATAGCTCACAGCAGCCTCAAATTCTTGAGCTCAAGTGATCCTCCTGCCTCAGCCTCCTGAGTAGCTGGGACTGTAGGAGTGTGTCACCATGCC